AAAAAAAAAAAAAAAAAAAAGCAGTTAACACAGAGGTGCATTCCAAGTACTAGAGAAGGCCCTTCTGACCTAAGTTGGAAAAAAATGTCTGGAAAGTTGCATTTTCAGTTTGAGAGATTCCTTTGATGCCTTGATCAAACCACTCAGCGAGCAAGACTCAAGACCATCAGAACTACAGTTTCACTAGAGAGAACAGATTAATTGAGACAAATAAGTTTTGGGGCTCAAGGATGAGAGGCACAAATTCCTATAGTTGAACCAGGGGGAAAAAAAGAAACACTCAGGCACTAAAATGAACAGATTCAAACTTCTCCAGCTAACAGTACCATGTGCTTCTTTCATTAGGCCCTCATTTTCTCAACAAGCAAGCAAGAAGCCAGCCAAGGAGCTCCTATCCTTTTCGACACTGTGGGCAGCCTATCTCAGTCTATGTCTTTGTCAGACTAGAACATGAGCAAGGCTCCAAAGCAGACAACTCACACTACCCACTAGGAATTACTTCATTACACTGCTTACATTGAAAATATTCCACAGCTGTTATCTCAAGAGAAGGCACCAGCTTCAGCTGTCTCTCCACACACACCTGCCTCCCTCTGACTACTGATTTGAATGTGCTCATGGTCTGCTTGCACTAACCTCACCACTCGCTCTTAATGACTGAAATACAGCCAGAGGCAGCCAGAGAGCACAACTGAAAGCCTAGAAGCTCCCCGCATTTAGTGCAGACATATTAGCATTGAAGTCTAGTTATGAACCATCTAAACACATCCACTGTTCACAACTTCACAGCCTAGAGCCAATAAAGGAACATTCATCACATGTGCAAGGCAGAGCATGAAGTGCTGGTTTGCATTGGCCACCACAAACCATTCCTTCAAGCAGGTTTTCTGGTCATCACCAGTGACTGCAGTCAAGTGATCTGAAGCATTCACAGTAGAAAATGTCACTATTCACACACTTCAGTGAGCTGAGGGTCAGAAATCAAGCCCTTCCTTTTTTCTCTCTGTGTAATGCTATAATGGGGTGACAATAGCAGAATGGCAAAGTCTTCGGCTACAGCAAATGAGAACAAGCCCAAATACAACAGTCAGAAATACAGAAATGAAGGAAAAGAGCTGCTTACCTTCGGAAGGCCTCAGGTAGGCAAGGATATCTGGCAAGAGATGCTCTCACTTCCACTGCCAACCCTTAAATGAAGTCTGGGTCACTGAGGTGCATTATGTTACATGCACCTGAGCTCCCCTGCTTTGGCCCTGCCTTCCTAGCAGGTGCCCAATCACCAGTTTGTGCTGTGACTACATTTCTGCTACACTGTGGTCTAAAGCTATGAAACAACCCACCGCTCCTTCTTCAAGTAGGAGGAAATATAATTTCCAAGATAATCTCATGAATTAAGTTGCCTCAGGATTAGAAACCGAGATACACTTTTTAAAATTTTCTCTGCACCTCCTTATTTGAGAGAAACAGAAAGCAAGCCAGGACTCCAGTGCAGCAAACATACCTCAGGAAGCTGATACTTAAAAAAAACCAGCAACCATCATGAGAGCTGGCAACTCTCAAATCACCAGTTGTAGAGGAAAGAATATTAAACAGCTATCATCAATCTATCTGGATCCAGGAAGCGAGCCATGAAATGCTGACAAAGGGGAATATCTGGTCTGACAGTGAAGGTATATTTATCTTTTAAATGAAGAATAATGGAGTTACACTGAAGAGACATATTTTAGCTCTGCAACAGTGAAGTATCAATCCCGTCACCTCATAGTGATATTTGAACACCCCCAAGGTAAGAAAATTTATTTTATCAGCCATTTTAGAGACCACCATTTTACACAGTTACTGTAGTCTCCAAAGGAACTACGTGAGCAGCACAACCAGAACAGCAGTGTGGAAACCAACCTTCTGAAAAGTTCTAGCACAGTCCCATCACAGCAGCAGCCCGGGTAACCAGCTCTCTTTTCATCCTCTGCTTCTTTTCTGCCAAATAGAGATAATGCCAGATTATCAAAAGAATGTTAGGGGTTTTGTTGAGGCTGAAAACATTTTCATTTGATTTGCTTCCCAACACATTAGGCCTCACAACCAGGAGTATAACTAACACATACTTACACAGAGCATCGCTTAAGGAATGCATATCTGTGCCCTGGGTCACAGGCTGGGACAGAAGCCATAGCACTAGGGTACAGATAACAGCAAGATGCACTCCTAGCAGCTCTGGGGCTGTCTAAGCGCATTTAACCCCAGACCGGGCTAATTTTATATAGACTACTCTCCAAAAAAAACAAAAGAAAGAAAAAAAAAGAAAGAAAGAAGTGGCAAACAACTAAAATCCTTATCTGAACACCTTTCTGCCTGCTGAGTGAGCTGAGATAGCCTCACCTCGTTGTATCTCTTTCATCTGAAGACTAGATTCTACCTCTAAGGACTCAGGATTACCCTCTAATCCTGATATGCTTACCTCCTTTTTTCTCCCAGTATCCATGTCCTGCCTGCTGACGTTATGAAGAAAGTGTGGGGGGAAAGAAAAAAACAAAACAACTCAAAAAACACAAAGCAAATTCACTGCTTACAGAAAAACTCCTCCTTAGCACCACACATAAGTACTAATGTCCTACCTCACTCTGAGCAAAATGAGCACCTGCTGCCTGGAGACAGAGCAGCTGCTCCCAACACAAGTTTCCTCCCACCTGCCCCATCAGCCTGTCCTTCAAACCCTGCACCCTAATTGCATACAGGTGGAGTCAGACCTCTAGGCAGCCCAGCCTCCTTTTGCTTAAAGTGGTAGTAAAGTAAAACAGTCCTGGGTTGAAAGGGGGCACTTGGACACATAATATTTGGTTACACCAAAATACAGATAATGTTCCCATTGAACTACAGCTGTTGTAGTCATCCTACAAGGTCTGTTCTCGGGCAGCCAAAGGGTGGCAGGCTGTTAATGCTAGCAACCTGAAAACCTCTGCCCTTCTCTCCACTTTGGAAACTCTGAAAAATATATTTACATATTATTTTTACTACTAGGGGCTTTATCTTAACAGCAGCCAAAAATGCAGCAGCAGCATACATAAATCTGCACTGCTAGTTGACTTACCTCTGCTTTACAGAACACTCCTACAGACTGAAAAAGCCCAGGCCAGGCAGCCGGCCATCTGAGGCCAAAGCATAGTCTGCCTGGCAGCACTTTTGTGCTGGGTCAAACACACAGATACACAGCACATGGTTCCTCCTGCTGTGAGGCTTTGGGGCTTTTGCTCTTTCTAGGGGAACGCTTTGCAGAGAGAGCAAAAGCACAGCAACCCCCCCCCACCCAACTTCATGGCAAAATAAGCAGGCTTCTGTCTCCTGAAATCAAAGGTTTGATTTGCTTCAGCTGTGCAGGAGAGGGGCTGCCTGTAGAAAGGAATTAGAGCTTGAACACGTAGCAAAAATAGACCATGGTGAAACCTCCAAATCCTGGAAGCACATGACTGAGCTTTCCTAATTCCACAGCCAGCAGTGCGCAGTGCTGGAGAGCCCGCTCCCATCAGAACGGCACTCTCATGAGTAATTAAAGTCGTGAAAAAAAAGAGCACGCTCTCAAAGTGCCTAAATTGAAACAGCAGATATCAGAAAACTGTGCTGGGGTTCTAAGAGCAGGTAAATGATCAGCTCGAGGGAAGAGAGGCACATAATGGCAAGGAAGGCGCTTACCTCCATAACGAAGCTCTTTCTGTTGACCCACGTAGGGAAACAGGCATCAGTAATTTAGACAGGAAAATTTGCACTGTTTCATTATGATGGAAAAGTGGGGTTTAGAAATAAATCCTATCCATAAATCTTTCAAAATCACCACGATTGATTTCCTGCTGCAAAGCAGGAGCAGCAGCTGCCACAGCTCTGCTTCCCTCTGCTTTTCAGACAGCCTGGGGAACATGTCCTCCAAAAGGTACCCATCACCTCCACAGCTTTGGGCGATTGAAGTCATTTCTACTGAGGTAAAGGGCGTTCCAGGCCCCTTTTCATGGAGGGGTCAGAAAAAGGTAAAAGTAATTGCTGCAAAGTCTGTTGTTCCAGAACGTTCTCTCCAGGAACACGCATTCATATTGTAACGGTGGGTGGCTTTAGGATTTTTTTTGTTTGCTCCATTTTACCACGGAAGAAGAAGAGCCATCTTATCACCTCATCTCATCTCCTGCGTGCTACAGAGATGGGTCATGCACTGAGCAAGCAAAATGGGTGCAAGGAACGAGCGCTGGGAAGCACTGGATGCAGCAGAGCACCACGCTGTTCTCCCGTTTGCATGTTTCTCACCAGTGCAAGCATCAGCCCGACGCCTGATGAGCAATGAGCAGAATGTGGGCACCTCCAAATGCCATCGTGCCTAATGGGATCAAAGGTGTTTGTGGAGATGTCTGAGAGGGGCTCGATGGAAAACAAACTCCTTCTATGGGAGTGGGGAACAGCCGTGCAAAGCCATCCTGCAAAAAGACTGCATTTTACCATTTAATCCTCAATTATACACATGACTTCGCTGCAGAAAGGTCACCACACAAAGAACGTTAGTCAACCGGGCTGAAGGGAGGGGCTGCGCGGCCGCGCTCAGCCCAGCTCTCGCTGAACGGCTCTGCCTCAGGAGCACAAACGCCCGAGCGGAGGGCGAGCAGGGGGTCGTTCAGCCCGGGGTCACGTGGCCCTCCCGGCCCTAACCCCGGCTGCCTCCTCCCATCGCGCCCTCAGAGCCGCTCCGGGGCCGCCGAGATGCGGGCGAGAGCGGGCGGGCTGTGGAGGCGGCGGGCGGCGCTGCTGCTGCTGCTGCTGGCGCTGTGGGGCTGGAAGCCGAGGGGAGCGCGAGCGCAGCGCCCGGCAGAGGACACAGGTGGGGCGAGGGGCGCGAGCCGCGCACCTGCCGACCGCCCCCGGCCGCGCTGTAACGGCTCTGTCCTCGTCTTTCAGAGAACGGGACGGATTGCGTTCCCCCTTCGTCTGAGTTTCCTGAGGGATTTTTTACACCGCAGGAGAGAAAGGATGGCGGAATCGTTATTTATTTCCTAATTATACTTTACATGTTTTTGGCCGCGTCCATCGTGTGCGATGATTACTTCCTTCCGTCTCTAGAGATCATCACGGAATGTAAGTGCGTTCATCCCTTTCCCTGTAGCGCCGGGGGCTCGTAGCTGGGGCACTGCGGGCAGAGCTGCAGCCACCCCGCGGATCCTCGCACACACAGACCTTAGCAGCGTACGATGCTGCGCCGAAAAGCAAAGCCTGTAAGCACCGGCGTGAGCTGCCGCCATACAGTGGGTGTCAGAGGAGGGGACAGTTAGAACAGCCCGTGAAATCTCATCACCCTGCAGGAAGTCCCCAGGCTTCAACAGACCGCTGAATGTAAAAGTGGTCCTGGCTGAGTTCAGATCTTCATTGATAAAACAGATTCTCCAGGGAAACTCATCCCTGAACACTGGAAAATGCTCTCCAGACCAGAATGCTTGCAGGAAATGTAAGTTTAAGCATTGCCATAGAGCCAATACTTCATTTAAATTGACATGTTAGACTGTTGTTCCGTATCAAGCTATACTTTCCTATCTCAGCACAGACCTCAATCCAAAAGGTAATGTTTCATAAACAGTTTACAAGAACAAAAGTCGTATAGCGTTCATGGAGGAGGTTCATTCCAGCACTGGTTTAAATCTATTTTTGGTTTACTAAGACACAGGAGCATGGATTTCCCTCAAAACAGACTTGACTTGAATCATCATGAAGAGTTACCACACTGGTCCAAGGAACCTCCCCACCAGTTTTATCCTCATGAAGCAGCATTAAGGCCAACATAAACGTGCCAGTTTTACCTTTTAAGATCATATTGCAATGCCTTTGTTACCAGTTTCTAGTATTTAAATGAGGTTGGGAACAAGTTAGCTCAATTAACGAGGCTACATTTTCAGTGTTTTAGGAATTTCAAATAATTGCATTAACTGTATGAAAGAGAGCAGAGTTCATCCCAGTACACTGTAGTAGCTTCTAACATTACATACTGATGTAAGACTGCTGAAGTATTTAGGTTTTAAAAAAATTCTTAAAGCAATTCTTTTGCTCTGTCCTCAGGCCTTGGCCTCTCTCAGGATGTTGCTGGAGCAACTTTTATGGCTGCTGGAAGCTCTGCTCCAGAGCTTGTCACTGCTTTTCTAGGTAAGAGACACGCACTTTGACTCCTAGTAACCTAGAACTCTTTACCTTGCATGTCAAAGAGGAACGTACCAGAGTCATTTTCCCTGTAGGAGTCTTCGTGACAAAAGGAGACATCGGCGTCAGCACCATCCTTGGATCGGCCATCTACAATCTTCTGGGGATCTGTGCAGCATGCGGGCTGCTCTCTAGCGTGGTAAGGATCAACTCGGACAGGCTGCACCTGAGAGCCAAGTGGTTATCCTTTCTGCTTCGCCAACAAAAGTCAAGAGAGACTTACTATGACAACCGTCAAGTTTATTATTTCGTAGCAAAACCAGCATGTAATCAGATTTCAGATAAGTTGCTATGAAAGTTTTTAAAAACACTAAGTTGTTAAATATCATACTTGAGTCATTCCTAAGAATCTTAAATTTGTACATAATATAGAAACAACATACCGATGCAGCATTTACAGCACTTAGTGAAAGTATTACAGACACATTTTTAAAAAATGAAAATGAATCTGTGATCTGCAGGTTTCCAGGCTATCCTGTTGGCCGCTGTTTAGAGACTGCCTGGCATATACCATTAGTGCAGCGGCGGTCCTTGCGATGATATCTGACAGCAGAATTTACTGGTAAGAGCACAAGTAGTGTTTAATTACCGTTGACTGGAGATTAGTGAAACAGTGCTAAAAAACAAACAGACAAACTTCAGCTGCCATTCACTAACAGAAATATACATCCTGTTGGCTTTAAAAATGTAGAAAGTCACAACACTTGTAAAGATTGTTACCCAACCATTCAAACCCTGCGTATTTATAGTCTGGTCTGCATAGGCTTCTTTGTACAAACTTCACAACTTCTATCTGACCTGTTTTGGCATAGCAGTTGGTCTTCGTAGCTTACTTCTTTTACAGACTTTCCTTAACAGCATTACCACTAAAACGTTCCTCTGTCAGAAGTAGATCATGACTTTCTGATGTCAAGTCTCTTCCATCACTACTGAAGCTCCTCTTGTCTCAAAACAGTCAGGCCCGGCGCCACCTCTCTGAAATTTCTGACTCAAAATAACACACTCTGTCCGCCTCCTTAACCATCTCATAAGACTCAGTTTTGCAAACATCAGTTGTTCAGTAAGTTCCCCTGGAAAACATGCAGCTATACAATACACAGACAAGATTCTGCAGGGGAGGAGAATTAATTAAACTGCTGAAAGACATGAAGAAACTTACAAACTTCCATGACATTGCCCATACAAGTGCAAAAAGATGCTTTTGTTTTTTCCTTTCACTACTCATGCAATTTTTGTCTTCTCATGTCAGTCACTTTAGTTATTTATTATATATTAATCTATATTACACGTTATGTAATTTTTTTTTTTTATTTTTAATTCTAGGTATGAAAGTGCTTCCTTATTATTAATATATGGGTGTTATATTCTGGTACTATGTTTTGACATTAAAATCAACCGGTGCCTCATGAAAAAGCTCAGTCCCTGCTGCTCGTGTTTTACAAAAGCCACGGAACAGAGCGGTGAGCAGCAGCCATTAGCTGGATGGAGGGAAGAGAGAGGGCCTCTAATTCGTCCACAGTCAAGAACTGATAGTGGAATTTTTCAAGATGAGCTGGACTATTCTCAGCTTTCAACAAGCTTACATGGGCTCGATGAGATCTCTGAAGGTATAAGTATTCTTACAGTTGTCTCTAAGTTCTAACAAAGAGCGGGTTTTCAGATATTATTAAGATTTTGCTCAAAAAATATCATAGTATTTAAGTACTTCGTTATTCCGTGCTGGAATATAACGTTAAGTAAAATTGTAGTTGTGATTTTTGTATGAAGCTAGTTGCTACAGGAATGCTAGGACAGTTGCTTATTTGTGCCAGTAACAGAACTTCCATCAGTTATTGCTGTGCATGTTTGAAACTTCCCAGCAACTCTGTCAAATGCAGTATCAGCTGAAAGACACACTGCTACTGTACTAATACATCCTGTTTCGTCATGACAGTGGCCAGTTTGTAACCCAAAATATGCATTAAAGCAGAAGGAATATGGAGCCACGGACCAGCTTCCTCTTCACTTAGACAAATCATCAGTTGGTGCTAAATCTTGTAAACATTTTGCATAAACCTCATAGACAAGTTCATTTTTCATCCACCTTGGCTGTCTCCTAGTGACACAGTAATAAAGAACATCTGATTTCAGAGTTCAGTCCAGTGTGATGTAGGCACTAGTAAGACAACAGTTACAACGTCACAGTCATTTTCTTGTACCTTTTTCCAGTATTCTCACAAGTAGAAGCAAATCGTCTGACTTAGTGCTAAGATTCAAACTTAATGCTACAGTTTAAAACAGTTCATTCATCAACAGATCATCCAAGCGTCTTCACCATGCCTGAAGAAGATATGAAGAGAATTCTGTGGGTGTTATCCCTCCCTATTATTACGCTGCTCTATTTGACTACACCAGATTGCAGAAGGCGGTTTTGGAGGAATTGGTTCATGGTAACATTTTTCATGTCAGCAGCATGGATTTCTGCAATCACTTACGTCCTTGTGTGGATGATAACAGTAGCAGGTAGGTACCTCAGGTGCTGCACCGAAGCAACCGATTGACCACGGCTGGAAAAGTTTTCTTTGTGTGAAGATTTTCCTTTTTCACATTTAGCAGTCAGTATAGCAACACGTATTTTGCTTAAAACAAATAATCCCTTGTGTGTGACTGCTTCGTTTGCCTCCTTCCATCTGAAGAAAACCTCTGTAGAATTTACCTATTTTTGACTGCTTACCATTGTGTGAAAGAGAATTTGTTTACAAAGCTACAAAAAACAGCCTATATTTAAAAAGATAGTTTCATTAAATTGCTCGATGAAGTGAAACAATGAGGTATGCAGGAACAAACTCATCAGGCTGAAGCCTGGCAAACATGGAATCCACCAAGACTGAAATTAAAGATTCAGATTTTTGGAAGAGATCCATTATTTCTACACCTCAACTGCCAAAAATGGTGCCCAAAATTCCATATTATTTTATTCCCACTACAGTGTCACATGTTTATTAGTGTCATATATGTTTATTCCTTACATGTGTTTCTCTCTTAAAAATCTGCATCATAAAGTAAAGCTGAAAAAGCACTGAATTTGAGCGAGGTAAGATGTGAATGAATGTAAAATCAGTTCTAAAATAACTTAAAGTATTAAAAGGTTTCCCCATTTCACTGTTTCTCCAGTCAGCTCAAGAAAAAAAAAAACAACCAGGTTTTAATTTTAAGAACGAGCAGAAAACAGATCTCTAAATGAGAAACAGCACAAACATTGCCATTTCTACATCATAGCTCACTAACCCTACTTGAGTATTCTGCTAGTTCAGCATCCTAAACTTGTTTTCAAACTAAAAATTCAGCGAATAACTTCTTGTTAAGTGCAGACACAGACCTACACAACGGTAGACATGTGAGAAGTTACTAACATTGCTGGATACAACACCCATCAGGTTCACTCCTTGGTCAAACGATTTTCTGTTTGTATCTAAAAATCAAAGATTCACCATCTGAATGCTAGAAGCCTCTGAGACAGGATCCAGATGAAAATTATTGCCCATCTACTAGACGAAACACTAATTCATATGAAAGCAGGTACAGTGGAGTTCCAAATAGCACATTAGTGCTAGTCCACTCTGAAGAGTCATTACAAGCAGCACTGGGGTCTTTGTCCCACTACTTCAAGGTCAAATATGTTCTATTTACACATTAAAACTCTAAAAATTACATGTATTTGTATATATATATATTCAAGTCTAGGTTCTCCGATGAAAGTTGACCCAAAAATATTCTATTTTTGCATAAAAATGGCCTATCAAACGTGCCAAAAGGTTCATCGCAGGGGGCTACGTTTTGATGGTCAAGAGCAAACCTAATTTAGTACACTTTTTTTTTTTTTTTTTTTACTAGCAAGGAAATTTTCATTACTATAGCAAGATATTGCTATCGATACACAAAATGAACTGAAGGCTAGAAAAATAAGACCATTCTCTCTTTATGGTCAATTGCCAGAAAAAAAAACCCTACAGTTCAACTAGAAGATGAATCTATCTACTAGTTAAAAAAAAAAAAATCAGCTTCACCTGAGTTTAGATTCTATCTTATAAACTTCAGAGGGCTAGAAACGACTACTAGGTACATAACACTGGTTCATTCATATTTCAGCTTTGTTTGCTTAACTTATAAAAGCTGATCCTATTGGTCCCTCCATCCTACCAATCTCTTACATTAGAAGCCATGGAAAAATAAATACCACTACATATTTTACAAGAGGATGATATTAGTCCCTTTGAACAGGAAAAATTTCAAACAAATTTATGGGGTTGATCTAGACTAAGCTGTTATGTACTAGGCAATCATTGCTGAGCTACGTTACAGCACACTGCCTCTTATTTTAAGAAAACTGCTTAGAAGTGTCTGAATACTCTTCAGTCTGAATACTAAAACCAATACAGGTTTTAAAAACAATAATAAAATAAATTTATGTGGTTCAGTAAAATGTAAGACAAGCTTTAATTACTTAACAGTCTGAACAGAAATATCAAGTACTTCAAGGTATTGATGCTTATGAATGGTACATAAAACTAAAGGCTGCTACAATTTTGAAGATCTGAATCCCTGTATTCTAAGAAACCTGTATTCTTTCAGCACACACGGGGCTAAAAATACAGGCAGGCAGGAAATTTCTGCTTTGATAAATATATATATATATTTTTTTTTTATTTAAAATCAGTGTTGATGTAAAGAAACTCACCCTTCTACAGAACTACTTGTACTTAAAAGTCATTTTGCTTCTTCCCATAGACTGAAAAACTTCTAATTCCTTCTAACTGCAATGAAGTGATAGAGCCACATAGATGAGACAATATTGTAACCATACCCTTAATGTCCTCATTTCCTAACAAAGTCATGCTTTGGTGTTTTTTCTCCTCTCCCCCCTTTGGAGAGTTTGTGTTTATAAGAATTACTGCTCCATAACACTTTGGAGTGCCAATGATGAAATGTCTCAAACCAAAGAAAACTATTACATTTTCCAGGAATTGAGAAAAGGGAATAAATAGGAATTTAAATTTCAACTGCACCTCAAAGGACAATCCATAACCAATATTTTGAACACAGAAAACCTTCCATCCACTCAGGTCTTTGAAAAAGCTGTAAATAAGATATTTGCTATCCTATAGTTCCTTGATTGAGGAACAAGAGCAATATAACATTTCATTGTTGTTACTGTTACTCTTTTTAACTACTTCATAGTTCAGTCACTGCATGTTTAGTCAAGTTAAATTGGTGAACAGTTTCCACAGATTTTAGAATTACTATTATTAATAATCCTTTTTCCAGCAAAGGACACCTGAATAAATTTCTTCAGATGAAACAACCTAAAAAAATCTCGCTCATATTTTCTCCCATTGTCTCTGAACTACAGGTGAAACACTGGGAATTCCAGAGTCAGTAATGGGTCTCACATTACTGGCAGCAGGAACAAGTGTACCAGATACAGTTGCAAGTGTGCTGGTGGCTCGAAAAGGTAAAGATCGTGGTGGTCAGGCTCATTCCAATTGGTGCTTTTAAAAAGCACTTTGACAACAGAGTTCTAGTCAACATCTCCAGAAATTCAAGGAGCAGCTTCAAAACTTCCTCCAGTTTCTAAGTTTACCATGAATAAATATGATAGCTTAGCTAAAAAAAAAAAAAAAAAAAAAAAAACATAAAAAGCTGCGGTTCAGACATTTAAAAACCTCCCAGTATCTCAGGTAAGTGTTCTGGGCTGGTGTGATTTGTTGTTGATCACATCACAGCTTTACTGCAAAGCACAACCTGTCTTGGTATTTTAAACACAACTGGATTTTACTGTCCTGTTTAGCTTAGCTTAAGAGCAGCTTCGCAGGCACTGGTGACTTAGGGAGACATTTTTTACGCTTGTGGTATCAAAACCACAGTCTGTGGAATCATATTTACCTTTGTGCAAAGAAAAAGATTGAAAAGGGCGCTTCACAAAAAGTCGAGGGCCGACAGCCTATTGCTCCAAAACAGTTTGCCAATTTTGTGTAACACGAGTCAGGTTTATTTGTACTTCTTGTTTTACAGGAAACGGAGACATGGCTATGTCTAACATTGTGGGATCCAACGTATTTGATATGCTATGTCTGGGAATACCCTGGTTTATAAAAACTGCCTTCATAAATACATCCGAACCCATAGAAGTGAACAGCAGTGGTCTGACCTACACAGCCACTTCTCTCATCTGTTCAGTTGTTTTTATTTTTCTGGCAATTCACCTGAATGGCTGGAAAATAGATAAAAAATTGGGAGCAATTTGTCTTATACTCTACTTAGCATTTACTGTATTATCAATTTTATACGAACTTGGCATCATAGGGAACAATCCTACAAGGGTCTGTGGTAACTAGTTTTAATCAGTGATGTACTGATGAAAAATAAAAGCCAGAGAAAAAGATCAGTTTCTTCATTTAGTCAAATAAAAAAAAAAATCCAAGACTTCCATTGGACTCTAAATCTTATTTACAGAACTAAGTCATGGCATTAAAGTAATATTAAGTAGAACAAAAACATCACAGCCTAATTGGAGCCCTTTCCTTTAGAGTCAAGAATTACAGTATGACAACAAGCACGTAAAACTAGAATTCTGGAAGGAAAAAAAACCACCTAGTTTTTACATTACAATGTTGATACAAGAGCTTGGGAAAAAAAATAAAAATCACAAAACACTAAACAAATCCCACTATGCAATCTTAACAGAGAAAATGGCTTATTTTATTAAAAACAGTATAACCATTCATTTAAACTGAATGACTAGAGAGAGACACTTGGCCTAATTTTCCAAAGGCTCCAAGCATCCAAAGTTCCCATAGTCTAATGGAACCTACAGGTGCTCAGTGCCTCTTAAAAAAACAACAAAAAATCAGGCTAATTGTCTTTAAAAACCAAACATAGTAAGATTCAGTTAACAAGTATCACAGTATATTAAACACTATACTGTTAAAGGCTGGTGGGATTTAAAAGTTCCTTTTTACAGCTTTTGTAAGCATACAATGTTACTAAAAATGACTTACTAGGATAGAGAAGCTAAACAGACATAGGAATGTTCCTGAACACAGTTTCAAGTTATGCATTGCGATCCAAGCGAACGTCAATTTCTCTGCCACTGATTTTTATGCCGTTCATTATCCTACAGGCCTTTTCAGCAGATTCTGGCGAGTCAAATCTGACTGTTCCACAGCCTTTTGATTTTCCATTCTCCATTTTTATTTCTGCAAACATTACATGACCTGAATAAACAAGTTAAACAGCAGTTACTTTAAGCCTTCAGTGTACTATAAACTTAAAGAACTAATTAGAAGTGATAAAAGATTAAATATTAAAGATTAAATATAATTTGGGGAACATACAATAATAGCATTTTTAGACTTACGGCATATTCACTGATTCAGGAATGAGACAAATCAGAACAGCAGTGAAGAATCCAAATTATGACCCACTCTTTCAACTTTGCTCTAAACTAAGATGAAGTATATCTTAATTTGACATCAAGTTGGAAACAAAACACCCTAAAAATCTAAGGGAAATTTCCACATTTCATTCATGGAGTCATATTGCCAGAACAGTGATTAATGGACACATTTTGAATGAATGACAGCTCAATCCAGTCCACCATGTTCATTCTAGTATGACAATCACAGTAATATTATCAACCAACCACAACAATCTTGTAATTTTGCAAAAAAGTTGCACAGCAAAAAAACCAGCATGCACTTCCCAATTCTTTTAGTGTTTGCTCAAGTTTGGACACTCAACCCCGAGACAACGCATCTATGTAGATGCCAGAAATGCACTCCACTCTTGAGCCCTCATTTGCCAGTTGGAACAGTAAATTCTCCCCTAAAATACAGGGCTTTTTATATTTAAATGTCATAGAATAAAAGGCTGGCCTTTCACTGAAAGAAATCACTTTCATTCCAGCATCATAAGGAAATATGGAGATGTGGATTCATATGTTTGTTGTTTATATTTGTGTTTATCAGTCTTAAAAAACACTCAGCATCATCACTGCACCTGACAGTAGCCAGAAAGAACAAAAAAAAATTCCAGAACTCTGACAGTTGCCTACACAATTAAGACCAAAAAAAAAAAACAAACCTGTTTGCCCGTATCAATTTTTCAGAAAACAATCTAATTCCTTAGCATAACTGCAAGTGTAGCACTAAGCTGATGATGGCAGAGTGTAAATAACTGTACCAGAACACAGATATTCCTATAATAAGTCACTCGATGCTACAACTGTATCTGCAAAAGAAGTTGTACTTGAAGAATTCTTCTTAACTACCTGTATGCATTTTAGTAGAGAACAGTTACATCCATTTGCACAAGAACTTATTTCACATACCCATTCAAATCATGGCAGGAGGTGGATGGCAAGAAAAAAGAGCACTAGATAATCCCTGAAAAATTTCTGAAGCAAAATCAGAAGTGAACAACACCTCGTTGGTTTCAGATTAACTTGTTAATCAAGTTCACGTAACTGCATAAGTTTAATACTGAACATGAATTGAACAGCTCTGCTGCACGTTTTGTTTTTAAAAGAGGCGAAGGTTTATGTGATCCTTTAGCAGAGTGCTGTCCCAGTACAATGCCAGGATAATGACTTCCAGCTCCCAGAATTTTAACAGCAGCACTCAGTCTTGATAATAGGGGAAAACAGGGAACTCCTCTCTAACGAGCTGGTGCACCAGCTCTGGCTATAATTGAAGAAGAACTTTCAGTCATGGAACACAAGGACACTGAGTTCCTGTAACTATTGAATACATTTGAACACTGAGTTTTTTCACAGTGCTACTGCAAGGTCTGAAGTATTTCTGCTCTACGCATTGGTGCATGACAACTCCCTTAGATATCACAGCAGAACATTTTAAATTCTTTCTTTCCTGCCTCCCAAAGTCAGTAAAGCCATCCACAACTCAGTTATTTAATTCTGAAGCGTTACATTCAATTACATCAAGTTATACCATTCTGAAAAGTGAGATTTCAAAAAAATTAAACTCACCCTCATATTTCAACATACAAGTTTGATTAAAGAAAGAATTACTGGATATTCACAGTACTCCTGTATCTTACAAAAAAGAAGGGCTTTTATTTCACAACAGAAGGCATGACACTACAGCCTGCAAATGTGCTTATCAGGATCACCTACTTGCACTAAAAAGATCTGCTGCTTTAGCAAAATTATTAACACTGCTTTGATGCAGTACCATTACTGCAAATTATATATGGCCTGGACACACTGACACCCCTACAAGCATTTATCTCAAAATAAACGTTTCATTACATACCAGAGGAAACCTTATTCCTATTAAAAAAAAACCTCAAAGGGTAATTTTATTAATAGAATGGGTTAAAATTTACAGCAGATTAGCACTCTCAGTCAGCACAGCCCATGTTGTACCTTAGTCTCACATGCTGTCAAACCTAAAAATTTAAAAATTATTTATAAAACTGCCCTTATCTAAAGAACATCATACAGAATGTGAAGTCAGTGGAGCTGAGTAGATGTAAGAGTTGCATACATACCACACTGACTGAATTTCTCCTTCAGCTTCTGCCAGGTCAAGTCAAAAGGGAGCTAGAATTTAAAAATATTTATTACTAGCAAAAGGTTACGACAGGAGAGAGCATGTAGTGAAACATGCACACAAAATAAGCTTAGAGTTTCCCCGTACTCAAACACTTACATTTCTCACAAATATCTGGTTGCCTTTAGAGCCCAATCTCTCTTTCATGGCACCTCCCATGGGGCCGGGCACAAATCCTCGGTCTATATCGATGTTCCTGTCCAGGCCTCCACCCATAGCTGGTCCCATTCGATCAAAGCCAGAACTCATCCGATCCATTCCCATTCCTCCAGGCATACTGTTCATACCACCCATCCCACCACCTACAGAAAGAGGATAACAGTAATAGTGTATTTTATTAGGAACAAATGCATAAGCATATTATAAACAAAAGTTATTTTTCTTCTGCCATAAAAGAATGCATACATGCAGTCACTCATACACACCACTGTCAACTGAAGAGAACTAAACTCTCAGCTCTACTCAACGCAGCCCCAGCACGCTCAGTGACAGTCAGTGAAAAAGCACATAGTGTAAAGAGCAGACATGACTGCAAGTCCTGTGAAGAGTATGGATTTTCCCATGATACATGCAATAGAATATATTGAAGTACATTACATAAAGAACCAAGATCAATGGCATTCAAATATCCTGTACACTGGTTTTTCTGGATTCATAATTAAAAATTAATGTAAAACAAGTTTATCAAGATCACGAGGGACCCTCTAACTCTCATGTCTCTTGAGATTGCCACTAGCAAGATTTTAGTTTCTCGTGTGCTCTAGCTTGAGGAACTGAGATATTTGCCTTAGTATAAACTTAGTATCCGAGCTTTGCACAAAGTTAAACTCTGTGATAATCTGCAACTCAAGAGATTACTGAAATAACTGAGCTCAGCTTCATCAAGTTCACACAATTCATTTTGCCCATTCATCTTTTTTCTAGAACACAAGTTTACTTCAATCACTTCTCCCTCCACTCCATAAGCTCAAACTATTTCAAACCTGTATGTTTAAGGAAAAGACTAGAGGAAAACCTGCTAAATGAATTTTCACCTTAACAGAACAGCTTTAACAACCACTAGACTTGCAGTCACATGCAACAGACTTCTGACACTGACCAAACACTGCAGTACAAATCTGCTGAAACAACTGCACGTACAACAGCCAGATCATTACATTGCCTGAGCATTCACGTTCCATGGAAACAAGTAAACCTACTCATTCCAGATCCTACTGGGCCCATTCTAGGTGCTCCCATTCCTCCGGCAAAAACACCAATCATTGCACCACCTAAACAGATAAAAAATAAAGTGACATACACTGAAACTGCCAGATAGTGACAACAGCAAGGCACACAATGATAAAGCACACTGATCTCAGTGCTTCCCAGCAATTCTTTTCCACAGAACACTTCAGCCTGTGCCTTTGTTACACGAGCTAAGTAGGAAATACCCAGCAAGTAACTACCTCTTCCTTCCCTATTACAGGATGTAAGCTACTCTGATTTTCTTTCTAGGCAGTTTTTCTCCACTCTGCTATCAGTGCAAACACCTTAAACTAAATAAGCCATTTCCCACACTGGGATTAACAGCCCCATTTTCAAGGCTGAAGGGTTCATTCTATTTGAACCTTACTATGTTTCTCCCACTCTTAAGAAACTCAGGTAAAAGCTCAAATTGTCTCTCAAAGCCTGTCTTTATTGTCTACGAATGCAAAGTTCATAGAACTGGGTGGGAAAAAAAGAGAAAGAGAGCAATACTAGTTAAAAAGTGCCAGGTAAAACCATGAAACCTCCAGAACAGTGTGAGAAACTGATTCTAGAAAGTGGGGTTTAATGAAAAAAAAAAAAAAAAACAAAAACAACACACTCTGATTTTTATTGAAGCGCTATGATTCAGTAAAGTAATCCTGAGGGAGCTTGTAGAATTGTAAAAACTCAAAGAACTACATTCATGTCAATGCCAAGCAGAATAAGGGGCCACGCGGACTTCAGAGCAAACTCTCCCATTTGTTCTGCAGAACAAAACTGACAAAATTAGTTCCAACAAACTTTGTTTCTACAAACAGCATTCTGGAACCACAGGTCTAACAGTGGTACCGACCTGAGAGAAGAGCTTCCTATAAAAACAGGCAATGTTTCTGGATATAGGTAGTGTAATCATTTCAGTTTTCAACCTATAAGTAAGGAAGCAGGAACTTGCAGATTACTCTGGAACTGGCAGCTACTACATTTTTCTTGCTTGATTTTCTCCCTACAAGAAACAGCTCTGTTTTTAACTTACGATAAAACTGATCAACTGCTGGCTAATTTGGGCTGGACACCACTGCCTCACTATCTACGAAACGTAACTGCTGATATTTTCCATTTTTCATCTTCCATCAGATTCATTTTCTGTAGACAGTTCAAAACAGCAGCAGTGGTTCCCTGTCAGTCTCTTGGGAGAAACAGTTTCCTCCTCACAGAAAACACAGTCAGACTTCAAAGAAATACGGACCAAGCTGTTCAAGAAACTATGGTTGTTCAACACCAGCAGGATTACTCCCAATAGTTTGCATATGAGGAAGCCCTTAGTACTTAGTCGTTAGGCCAAACGGGGTGTATTACAAGTAACAGACTTTTGAGTCCTCTTGTACAAGCATTTCTAACTGAACTGGCTCTGGATTTTGACTGAAGAAACAGATGTTCATCCTATGTTGCAAGTACACATAGTGAAAACATACACTCAATTTTTAAGGACCTTAACTCCAAGCCGCTACAACTAATTTAACTGATAGCCTTACTACATCCCTACTACTTGCTACACAATTACCAGTAGCTGTAGAGAAGCACAAAATAGTTAACTTTCACTGAGACTTGTCCAAATTAACAACCCTCTTTCTCCCACAAAAGACTATGAGTTGCATTTTTCCTAGAGTCCATGAATCTTAACGCACCAGCACTTTCACAGTAGTGAACTGAGGTGTGGAGCACAGTGAGGGGCTGGCAGGGGAAAAAAGAAAGGCTGGCTCCTATAATGCATTCACCCAGGTAAGAACGTAGTAACAAATTGAAGTGGTTAACACTGGAACCTTCTTCAGTTTGTTACTACATTCTTACCTGGGTGAACAATTTTCCAGTGTGTCTTTGCAAAAGAAGGCTCCTGGAAGTTACAGAGGTAGTGAATGAACAGCTTGTTCAAGATTGCCAATATGTTTTAGTATCCGAATGATATAATGTCTGGCACAGTTAACAGTCTGAAGTGCAATACTTTCCTCGAATCACTACTTCTATGTTACAGATTAAAAAAACATTTTAACTTCCATCTTCAGAGATAACCATAATAAACACAAATATCCTTAAATTAATAAACATCCTTATAATAACAACCAGTGAGACAGAGGAAGATGGCCAAATGAAACCACACCTCTTACTTCTTCCCCCCTATTAAAACTCTTCCAATACTACTGAAATTTGCCACAGGGACTTTAACAGTTACCATACCCATCCTTCCAAAAGAATCTCCAAAACCACGGTTCAATGCCATCTCACTACGAGCAAAATCTCTGTCCATGTTTCCTCCCATTCCACCACGGAACATTTCTGTAGAGAATAATGCACACAACAGAAAAATTCTGTCATATTCATCTAAGTAGATGGCAATACAACACTTGTTTCATAGTTGCTGTTTAGATAGAAGCAGGTTTAATCCACCAGTCAGAGGTACCCTTCATATCAGCTCCTATGCTCCCATCCATGCCACTGCCCACATTTCCTTTGAATTCATCTACATTACTCATCTCTATCTGAAGAAAGAGCTTTTAATAAAGCTCGCAGATTAGCAACCTAATCATGCTCACCCACCTCCCATTCGGCTGACTCCAAATCCTCCCATGTTAGGCATTCCTTCCATTCCACGAAATCCAGGAAGCCCTGTAAAATAAGGAAGAATGTTTCTCTATCCAATATTTAAAAGATACATAATACAAAGATATTCACTGCACGTACCGCCTCCCATTCTATTCATTCCGCCAAAACCAGGACCATCTATTCCCATACCTTTGAATCAAAGAAACAAATGCCATTTAGAACACAGGTAAGATCCTGATGTATTTCTAAAAGTGTCTCAAAAACACACTATGCAAGGATGGCCTTGACAAGAGCAATGACAATTATAAACTTAACAGCTCTGAAACTTAAAAATGAAGAACATGGCTTTACCTCCTGGACCCATGTTCCCCATTCCACCACCCATGCTCAATTGTGTTGCACTAATGGGCTGCCCACCTGGTCCAAGTCCCATACCAATGCCACCAAGACCACCTTCAAAAAAAAAAAAAAAAAAGAAAAAGAAAAGCTATCAACATAAGATTTTCAGCATAAGGAGATCACTGTAAGCAAAACTACTACTAAACGGTTCCAAGACCACATCAACATATATTATGTGAGCTGCTCTGAAAGTAATGCCTTCTATTTTATTACACTGGGCCACAACATCAAAAGCAGATGTCGGTGGTCTGGTAGTAAAGGTTGAACCTTCCCATCAATATTCCCTTACATTTTGTTGCCATGCAACAGGTGGCAGCAGAGGGGTAGTCTGACAAAATGGTGTCTGACATGGAAGTGCACATGAAGGAAAGGTGTGTCACTGAATTCCCCCAGGCAGAAAAAATAGCAGCCACTGACATTCACTGATACTAGCCGAATGTCTACAGAGAGCAAACAGCAGATGTTAGCATAGCGAGGTGGTGGCGGTGGGGTTCAGCAGTGGCGACAGCAATATGAAAGATAAGCCACATTCTAGATGGCCACAGACATTTTTACAGGCACAAAATGCATAGCTAATGATGGCAACTGTGTCAAAAAATAGTGCTTCGTCGTTGAGAATTTGCTCTATCAAACAGCATTGTCGTGCCTTTGTATCTTTTGTGGTTTCAGTGGAAATAAATAGGAGGCAGTACCTTCAGAGAAACATTCACAAATGCAAAGAGTGAAAAAACAGTGTACTCACGAGGTAACTGAGGAGCTTTGCTGTCCACAACGCGGAAATCTTCATGAGGGACTGATTTGTCATCCTGATAAAAAAGAAGGATGCTATGCTATGATTCCTTCAACACTGTGGCATAGAGAAGTAAGGTAAAAAGAAATGAGAGCAACTTACCATTTTTACATGCATAGGTCTGTCAAACAGGAATTGTCCATTGAACATAGCTTAAGAAACACAAGTCAAGGAATCTAACTACACAAGTCAATTTAACTTTTTCAAAAGAACCACTATAAAAATTATGTCTGTATCACTTTCAGTTTTCTCCTCTTCCTCATCTGATCTTCAGAATGCCAATTCAAAGGCTGTTAGGACTACAAAGCCAAATTCACATGTCCACGTATTTTAAGTTTGTTCAACATCATCACAGACATCTTTCTACAATCTAGAAGCAAATTTAGTCACTATTACAAAAATTGAGCTGCATAGTATAAGATCCAGCCTGTAAGTGGCTAGAAAGCAAGTAAGCACAATTTGCAAAACTGTGCTAATAAGGAACCTTAAACAAAGACTAATCCATATTTGGTCCTTTTTCATTCCCCCAAAACCAAGGATACATATTGCTTGAACAGCTTCAATTGCTTGTTCAAATGTAACTGTTCCCATTCCTCGACTCTTGCCATCTTTATCTTCTTTGATGTCTGCACGCTTTACAGTTCCAGCAATGCTGAATACCTCTTTTAGTTTCTTCCAACCAACTTTAAAGTCAAGCTTACAGACAGAAATACATAAGTATACATCCCTGTTCTATGATTAAATTTGGAATATTTCCTACACTGCAGGAAATCTTCAGATTCTCAAAATGCTTGATGTAAACAGCAAGGATTTTTTTTTAAATGTACACACGCTACAACAAAGTCTAACAAAAAGGATAACTGAAAGCATCAAGTTATGCTATGTATATCTATTTCACTGTTCTGATTATTGTACCAGCACTGGAAATGGATGGGTTGTTGCACAGAGCAGATATACACCCATATGGCCCCCTGCAGACACAGCACAGCCTCTCTCTGACATTTGTGCAAGTAAAGAGCTGATGATCCCCAACGGTTTAAGTTCGTCTGAAGTAACCAGCAAGAAATAACAATAAACAAGTTGTATATTGAGTTTAAAAAAATAATGAAGAAATGCATTTGTAGATATTGAAAATATGTAGTAAGCATATTTTTAAATTGATGTATGTGACTGTGCAATAAGTAAAAATCCATGCCAATTTTAAGATTGGAATGCATCTTTCATGCCCAAAATTTGGGTAATATTTTTCATTTTTAGTTGAATATACTGACTGTGAACTAAGATTTCTCATTTCCTCTCCCATTAAAACTGGATTACACATGAATAAAAGATATTTTTACTAAGATCAGGCACTACAGTTTTAAAATACGTTTTTAAACTTACATTTGCAACAAAAATAGTGGACCCAAGCCTGCCTGCCTGCAAGTTACTGATAACCTCAGGAGGAATGTTTGGATTATTGACAATAGAAGGTGGTAAATTCATCAATCCAGGTGCAATATCAGCTCCGTGTCCTCCTGCAAATTGTCCTCCTCCACGCTGCAATGCCCTGCGAGCATGTTCACCTTCAGGATCCTGCAACAAGCGCAAAAATTAAGCCCAACTCAGTGATCAATAACAAGACTGGTAACAAAAACTTTCTATTTGAAATTCTACATAAACCCATCAAAATTATCAACTAACATCCTTGTCCATACCAGAGCGATCAAGAACTGAATTAGCACGGAGACCTAATGCCCTCACCTCTAGAGGTGGGTCCTTTCAGATGAGGGTTGAGTCATATTGGCAAAGCACTTGTTGAGGAAGCGTGCACTGCCACTTCACATGCTGTACCTAGCCTATGGACAAGTAGAAAAGATTTCAATCTAAAGGACTGTCAGCCTAGCACCTTTTTCCAAGAACTGAATAAATCTAAATAGCTTTTTTGATTTGTTGATACCATTATTAAAGCTGCAACAGGACAAAGAACTGCGTGTCATATGCTACAACACTACAATAAAAAGGCTGTCGTTAATTTCACTTTCCAAATCAGCAGCAATTCTCTACTTTCCATCCCATCTGTACAAGTACATAGTGGTCTCACAACCAGCTCATTCTTCTCCAACTCCTGTTTGAAGCAGGTAAGGAATATGAACATAGCAGCAGAAGACAACACAGGTAAGAATATGAAGTTAAAGATAAGGTTGTTTAAAAGGAGAATAGCATTAGATAGTTTGAGCTTTGAAACACACTTTTTGTCAGATCGCTCAGTATCGTATCAACTTTCCACAAGCCAGCAGGCACTTCAGTCCATTCAGAAAGTACCATAAAAAACGAAATTGAAAGTTACACAGCTGAGACTCACGTCACTAAAAGAGAAGACTATCTTTAGAATTTTGTATTAAAAGCAACAGCAACAATCATACCTCTTTAATATTCAGTGGTCTTCCACTAAGATCATATTTGTTCATAGTTTCTAACGCTTTCTTAACAAATTCTTCATCTTTGAATTCAACCACACTTAGAGGGAACAAAAACATTTAGAGTATTAAAATAAAGTTTAGAAATATTAAGATTGACAGAATGCTTGGTTAATAGTGCATTTATACGCACATAGAAAGAGAAACTTACCCACAACCCTACAGCCACGATGATTTGTAATTATATATAAAGAGGAAAAAAAAAAGAAAGAAGTCAGTCAGCACAAATGTTAGTATATTACAGATTAAAGATCCTGTTAAATAACTATTTATCAAGTTATTTTCAGCTTCAAAATTTATAATAAACTTTCTTTACTGGTAGTCAAGCTGAATTTTTTCTCCTTTCTCAGCATACATATCATTCAAATGCATTATACTATATTGGGTTCTCTTTGAGCCAAACCAGAATTGGACTATAGAAAAATGCCACACAGATCTGCGTAAGGAAAACTGGGGGAGGGAGGGAAGGGGTGGAAGGAAAAAACACCCAGAACGTAACCAAAAACCAGTCAAGACACTCATTGTGCCATTAAACACTGCCCACAGACTGCAAAATTCAACTCCACGTACATCATATGCATAAGAACAATGAACAAGGTGTCTGCATACCTCTTCAGTATTGCTAACATACTTGAGAGATTACTTTGTAAGAAAGTAACATTTTTGGCTGCACCAGAATCCTTCTAATAAACCACAGAGTTTAGGATTGCTTTAAGTGAAGCAAAGCTGAAAGCATGATTTTGTTTTAGCAAGCATGGAAGAAAGTCATTTACAACTACTGTTACAACTTCAGTTAAGACTCAAACCTGCATTTCTCATGTTCTCACTGCAGGTTTGGATCTACTGCTGGCCAAACTTTAGACAGAGGAGCTTTAACAATCTTCACTCTTAGTACCTCATTGCTGCTGGTACTCTGTTGGCCACCAACCATCACCACCCATTTAGTTTTTAAAAAAGCAAATGCATTAATCCAGTGTTTAGAGTACCAACCATACAAAGCTGCCAAATCAGGCACTTCAAACAGTATATTCTTAGCTAATATTTTATACTTCTTGTCCCCAGGAAGAGAATACTACACTAGTAACATTTAAAAAAAATAAAATCAGCAATTTACTGAGCATCCCTTAATAAAAGGGATTTGTACCGAAACAAAGATGTTGGCTAAAAAGAAGAGTTAAGAGTAAATGCCATTTGTTAACATTTACAGAAGTATTTTGTCCTTCACAGCCAGCTAGTTTGAGTTGTGTGAATGCGTCAGACTATTTCTAATACAGAAACCTCAAAGCTATCTTAATGAAATCAGTGTGAAAATGAAACTTACTTTCCAATAACTGGTACAGGTATTATACAAAAATAAAACTGCTGAGGAACTTTTAAACCTCTAGCAGATTGTTGCCCACGGCACTTACCCTTGATTTTCCTTCAGCATCCTTAAACAGCTCCACGTATGTAACCTCACCAACTACATAAGACATACAAAGGGAAAATACCAAGAGACAATGCATTTAAACACCAGTATCTTTCTTTTCTGTGCCCCTGTGCACAACTCTACAGAGAAACACCTATTATTCACCAACAATCAAAACCAGACCAACGTACCTCCTGTCAAAGGCTATGTAATTTAGCTAATTTTCAGAAATATGCAGCAGCCACATTCTCAAAATCTAAAAACAAACAACTATATTTAACCTAATTCATACTACAGATCATATTTTGGCCAGTATGATATCGTTGGTGAACAAATTCAGATATACACAGTCCCTTAACCTAACAAATGAAACGTCAACGTTCACTGAAAAGTGTAACATTTGTCATCCTACTCACAACACCTGTTTTAAGGTGACTTTCTACCTGAATATCTTCAATCATAAGTTTGCCTTCAATAATAACCAAATTTACACATCAAATATTTCACAGCAAGCCACTCACTTTCTAAAGTAGGAAGTTTCAGTAAGTAAACCAATCAAATAGTCACGTCACCTTACAACAGATACACCAGCAGTTACAGAAGGGGTTTTTTGGCATTTTTCACAGCCTAAAAGCCAGGTGTGCTTTGCATTACGGTTGAAGAATCTATTTTTTCAAGACAGAACACAGAACTAGCTTTTTACAGAAGTCAAATGTTAGCATTAGATTCCCCAAAACTTGCAATAAGACGTTTGGGGTATTAAGATTACACTATCAGAACTGCAACAATAATAACAAGCTTTTAATATAAATCTCCAGACAAACAGTCGTGGCAGTAGTGACAATGCAGACAAAGTTAATGCCACAGCCAGATTCCACCAATACAAAACAACTTTTGAAAGACATCCTTTATTATATGTTAACACACTAGATGCGTTGCTTAGATGCAATAGCCCTTTAAAGAAAATCTACGAGACTACAACTAAATGAAACAATCTCTTTAAGAAGACATGAGGTCATGCATATACTCTCTACTGTCACACTAGAATGGCAGAAGATTGTGAATACCTTGTTTACCAGTCCTACTCTGCAATGCAATTGTCTCAGATGAAAGAGGGGGAAGGGAGATAGATGTACCAAGTAGAGGCCAAAAAAAAAAAAGTCAAATCAAATCTGTGTGGCTCAAAGGACATATATGTTGTATTTCCTCCCTTTCTACGTGAAGTGTATTATAAGGAATAAGTTACCTTTCTCTCTCATAAGATCTTTAATAGCTTGCCATTTCATGTCATATGGGATGTTGCTAATGAAAACTCTATTACGATTAATAGCCTTCTTCTCTGCACTGCCTGCGTTCTTCTCCTTTGAATAGGGGTGGAATCTATTCTTGTTTCCAAGAGAAGGGATTGCCTTCGGTTTTGCATGCTTCTCTTTCACTGGTGCCTTCTCTTCTTTTGCCGTCTCATCATTATCCCTACATTCCAAATAAATACATAAATGAACATTAGTCTCACCTTGAATTACAAAACTGCATAGCACCAACACATCCAGCTCTATAACTCTATGCTATCAGAACTACCCGGATGTTGCCCTCCTTTTAAGTAACAATACATCAATCCTATCAGTGTAGTTTCAAAATAGGTTGCTTTACCTAGAACAAAAATCAATGTTACAAGAGATCTAGGCACTATTATAAGTTCAGAAATCATATATTGCTACTTCACTTACATCCCTTTTCCATTAAGTCTGTCAATACTGAGGAACATGGTGCTATAAAACTACTACAAAGATCAAAATTCAAGAAATCAGATGAAAAATAGCCTACAGCATCCACACTTTGGTACTTCAAAGAACTTCAACTCATACTTGGCAAAGTTGCACCATATTTGCCACACAAGAGTTGAAAAGATCCAATTTATGGAACAGCTTGGTATACTTCAGTCAGTGTATTAATAAATGCATACAATCGACCCCGGCAGGCAAACTACCTTTTTTTTTTTTGTACACAAATACTTTTTATCCACAGATTTTGTCTGACTGCTTTTAGAGAAATGAGAATTTAACTTAGAACAAACGCTCTTTTTATTTCCACTGCTTAACACTACTATAACTTGAAAACATTCTAAACGCATAGGAAATAGGCTTATTAAGACATGCTTTGCCTCTAAGACTAATTAAGTCACCAGGAATCATCCATTAAAAACAACAAAGCTTTCTTTCTTGCCCTCTGCCTTTCAAAAATGGAGCAACAACAGCTGCCTGCTTTTTAAAAACATTTCATATTCTTAGGACAGCATGCTTCCTCTCCTCTCGTGTAGCACATTTCACAACCTCGGTACAATTATATTCTATGTACAGAATTAGATAAAACACCCAAACCAAAAGCCAAACCTCTTCAGCACTTGAGAAAGTGTCACTATGGTGAGGTGTTCAGTAACAGACGATCAAGGCGCCCAAACCACTGCACTGAAAGCCTCCAGTAACAAGCCAAACAAACACGACCCACTAAGCAGATGCTGCATGTGACTCGTTCAAATCTCACTGCAGTTAACAATAAACTTGAAAGCATGTGCAAAAGGACTTTTTATATTAAAGAGCTGTCACCAGCCACTCAAATTAGAACAAGAACATGGCAGTGTCTCACAGAACACATGGCAGTGTCTCACTGTTAAAGAGATGGACGGTGAACCCTCTTTCTTAATTAACAGCGCTATCTTTACAATTCCTCCTGCTTTTCAGAAGGCTTTGCTTTGATTTCACTTTGACTACAGGTGGTTCTTAGTGTAAAATGAGCCAAACAAAACAAGCATTTTAGTTTTACAACCATAGCACATGGCAAGACTGCCAACCTTAATGCACTGAAATTATTATTTTCAGCTCTTTTTGCATAATTATTAACAGTGAGTAAGTGACAGTTTTGCTCTCAGAACATACGTAAATGGCCCTTCATTAAGTTAAATGTATTATCTACTCAAAGTTGGACACCTTTCAGAGAGGAATAACTTCAAACATGCACATTTTTCTCTCGCAACTTTTTCTCAAATTTTGAAGTACTCATATGATATTAACCTCACAGTCCTTGTGTTTACAAGCGGATTAAAAGAGGATTAGCAACTGAGAAATGCAAGGACACTGCTTGGGTTAAGAATTTGTAAAATTTAAAACATTCAAGTCAACAACACATTATCTAGCTCAAGCATTCTCCAGCTCCCACTGCACCACCACTCCTCCACACCACCCTGTCTGCTATGGCACTGTATCTCCTGGGTGGATGTGTAATGAAGTGAAAGGGGTGGGACAACGCAGGGAACAGGTAGGAGCAAGGGGGATCCAAGAGGGAAAGAGTCGAGTTTCAGCTTTCCAGTCAGTCCCGTTCATTCCAAGGCAGTTCCACTCGTAAAGACAAAACTGATATACCGTGATACCCCCAGTAAAACCAGAGCTCCTCCTTGGTTTTCAGGATTAGACCAACAGATTCTCTTTAGCCTTTTAAGCTCTTTCCTGCTTAAAGGATTATGAAACAGCCTGGGCATGTTCAATGTGGTACACAGGAAGTGCCAGGTCTCCAAAGAGAGAATCCCCTGGCTCTGACAACTGACTGTATGAACCGGTAGGAGAGCAGAGAGGATGCAATAAACTCTTAAATCTGGGAAACCGAAAACATTTAGTCTAGAAATCACAAATGGTCTCCTGAAAATAGAGATTAAAAAAAAAATAATCAATCCTTACAAAATTCATCTGCCAAAATCAATGGGCGAGTGAACAATCTGGAGGTAGAGTCCATTTTGTGGTTGCAGCTCTCACATGAAAAGTACTTTCAATAAAAGACATTCAAAACAATGTCCCCTTCATTACCTACAGGCCACAGAACAGACAGGCTAGGAAACTATGAGCTGCCATTTTCTCAAAGAAAAAAAAACAATAGTAATTTTTACTCTTCACGTTTTGTGAAGTTAATTAATTAATTAAACATTTCATGTTTACTTCATTCCTCTGCACATAAGCATCTGTATAGCCATACAGATAACAAGCTCAGCAGAGATGGAAATGCAGACTCTACAACTGAACACGTGATTCTATTACGAATACATCAGTTCAAGTTTACTGAGTTCAACAGATCCGCTGCTCAATACAAGAAATTTAGGGAGGTGGGCAAGCTGAAAGCATGATTCCTCTTCAACTCAATCTGAGCACTAAACAAACCTGGCACTGAAATAGGCAGCACAGTTCAACTCCGTGACGATGGCTTCATCCTTTGTATACCTGTTTCAGGAAAGACTGGAAACTGTACACAAAACACTAGGATTTGAAACTCTGTTACCAAGAACGTCCTGTTATTTTCAGACTAGACCCTGTTGATTCCTATCTTGCAGACTGATGGAATTTTTTATTTGCATGCAATTAATTTTGAAGGGAAAATAATTAAACTGCTGAATGGAGAAGGGACACTTAAAAATAATTTTAACAATAGCAATGCCAACAGGCAATAAAATACTTCATGCCTTAAAGAATGCAAAAAGGTCACAATCTTCTGGTCAAGGTAGAATAATTAAGATACTCTGAATGCTGAGGGTCAGATTCAGGAGAAGAAAAAAAACCAAAAGAAATGTTGTTTTACTGAAATGCAGACTTCCCTGAAAGTCAAGTAAAGGCATCTGGGCTGCACAGAGCACATTAAAAGATCCCAGATTCCAACAGCCTTGATGTATTCTAACACAAGGCCTCCTAAAACATATATTTTGCCTGTAAGACGCAAACGAAGTTGTGAGAGGAGCTGAAACTTCAACAATAAGAGGCCAAAATCTACTTCATCTAAAGAATTACAACCCTTGAAGCCGGACATCAAAAGCAAGCAAACCCATACAAGGCCATTCACTGCATTTTTCTGAAGACCTGGCATTTCTGGCTCTCCTGCACTACGTTCCTTCTGGACTTACAATAAAAGAGACAGCTTACATACTCTGTATATGCTTGTTTTGTCTTTTACAGGAAAAGTTTGTGGGTTTTTTTGGTTTTTTTTTGCATGTTGTGTAAAATAAGTCACCATAGGGCTTTCTCAGCATTCCCACAAAAACAAACAACAAAAAAGGAGAAGCCCAAAGGCTTTACAAAGCGCAGCACGTCTGGAAAAGCAAACACAAACACAGACGTCCCAGCACACTTCTGCACACGGCTCCCGCCACACCGTGCCGGGCCAGAGCCCATCACAGCACCCTGGAGGCCAGGCCCACCGCTCGGCCTCCGGCCCCGCACCGCAGCTCCCAGGGCAGACACCCGAGATCGCCGAGGCCCGGGCCGCCTCACACGGATGGCGGCTCTCCAGCCTCGGAGCGGCCCGCGGCGGGGAGGAGCCCGGCGGGTTGCGGGGGAGAGAAGCCCAGCCGCCTGCCGGCCCCGTTCCCGCCGCCGCGGCCCAGTCGGCCCGCCGCACCCCGCACCCCCCGCCCGGCCCGGCACACACATTTTGACGCCATTTGCGCTGCCCCCGCCGCTCTCGGTCGCCGCCGCGGCCTCCTCACGTTGCGGCGGCTGTTGTTGCGGCTGCTGTTGCGGTGGCGGTTGCTGCTGTTGCGGTGGCTGCTGGCCGGCAACGGCGGCCTCCTCCGCTCCCCGCTGCAGCGCGGCAGCCGCAGCCTCCGGCTTGTCGTTTTCCGCCATTTCGTGGCCGGGCCGCGGCCCCGCTACCGTCGGTTTGAAAACGGCCCGGAACGCCTCGGCCTCGCCGCGCCGGGCCGGCCAAGTCTCGCGAGAACGAGGTTTGCGGCGGAGGCGGGGACGCGGCGGCTTACGGCGTTGCCGTGGCGACGGCGGCCAGGCCCGTCCCGCCCAGCGAGGCCCGGCCGTGCTTCTACAGTCCCGTTTCTCGGTCACGTCTGGGCAAACGCGGGTGTTGGAAATAAATTCTTTCTGAGCTTCCAGGACTCTCTTTTGTCCCTCAGTCCTCACACCAGGTGTTGGTAACACCTGAGATTTTCAAATGCTGTGAAGCTCCCTCCCACATAACCCAATGAAGGTTAAAAAGTTCACATTAAAGAGTTCAGCGTTCACACATCAATTAGAAAAATAACGCGGTGTTTGTGACAATTGCAATAACTGAAATAGTTACTGCTATCATTACGTTTTACTGCTCTCGGTTCCCACAATTCACAATTCCCACGCCCAAGTGGCTGCACTCTGCTATTGAGAGCCCTGCCCAGCTGTGCTCTGCATCTTCAGTGTTGGGACCCCACACTCAGTGGGATCTCAGTGTTGATTTTAATTTTGTTGGAATTTAAGCCATGATCAAAAGCAGTTCAGCAACAATTTCATCAGATGGCAACTGCAAAAAAAGTTCTATCTTCCTAAAAGTCAGTTTGTACGTGATGTGAGAGAATGGGACTCCTCAGATTCACATATTTACATCTTGAGAGTGCTTTCCATGAAAGATTATTTTCAGTTATTGTTCCCACCTATATGATGCATGTATGGTGAAAATACGCATGGCACATATTTTTTCTTGTTTTGTTTGCTATGACATGAAAACACGCTTAGCATTTTCTAAACCTGTCCCTCCTCTAGAAAACCCTGAGAATTGCTTTTAACAACAAATACACTTCCTAAACCAGTTATCGTTTGCAGTTCATTTAAAGATTCCTTTCTGCAAAGCCACAAGTATTTCCAAACCAGTTTGTCTTGCCTAAGACTGCACCTAACATACACTGCTTTACTCCGTGCTTAAAAAAGAAATAAATAACTACTCTGTAAATGAAACCTTCTTTTACAGAGGTGTTTACTACAGGACCTGAAGTAAAACAAATATCTTCCCTAAATGCTCTCTTTTGCAATTAAATACTATCTTCCTAGTCTGGGAAATGTGGTGGTTTTTAACTCCGGAAAAGAAAACATTTTACACTTCCAAAGGGCAAGCTATCAAACGCATCAGCCTGTGTGCCTGCAGGTATCTTCTAGAGACAGAGCAGAGCCCAGCTATTGCACAGCGAGAGCCCACCTATTGCACAGACCTTCACACCTGCAGCTGCGGTGCAGACTGCTGCCTCTCTTGCTCCCTCACAGAGAAGTTTGCCTTCTCTGACTTTCTTCCTCCCCCGACCAGAATAAATCAACAGCACTTACTGACTGAGTTCCCCCAGGTAAGAGAGCGTACAGATGCCTGATACAGGAATGAAACTGCATGTTGACGCTTTAGTTCAGTCTGTTGTATACTCATAACCAGAAAAACAGCGCAGCATCCTATGCCCAGAACTTGGCATCAGTGACAAACGGGAGCCCTGCCCTACTTGATCTGCAAGGATAAAACCACTTTTTCCCTTAGTGGGGGTTTAAATCTTTAAACGATAGATTATCATCATTTTTTTCCCGGTGTTATGCAACCCTTAACCACAGCTTGGGAGCCTAAATCTAATCACCCATTTTTTTAGAAGGCTGCATAACAACATCAGACGATGACAGCAGTTTTACTGGTCCTATATTGAAACAATTCACATCACCCCCACTCTCCCCAGATCACTTCTTTAGCTACTGAAATTACTACAGAAAACAAAACTGAGCAATCTGCACGTTGGTCCTTCCTTCCACAACACGTAGTCTTCAGTAAGGGGCTGAGTGCCCCTCACATACTCATTAGCTTTTCATGGTGAGGCAGGAAATACCTCCTGCAGGTTTAAAGGGAACCCATCCCACCTAAGGCTTTAGAAGCCTCTGCCCTCTCCTTGTTGGCCAGGGGCCTTCTCTGAGCTCAGCGGAGGAGGGACCCAGCCCCCCTCCTGGCCCATCACACCAGGTGGCACTGTTGCTGCTCACTGTATGCACACACCGTTCCACCTTCCCCAACACTAACACTCAACCTGCCTCAGTTTCCGAATCCCTAAACCCTTGTAAGCCCACTCAGATCTTTTACACAGGGAGATTGCTGTGCAGAATTGTTTCTCTGCCTCATTCTTGGCAGTACCCTACATATCCCCAGGACTGCAGGCTGGACATGTAAGCAGCAGATGTAGTCGGTATCTGGTAAAAGCACGGCTTTTGGATGAAACAAACAAGCAAACAAACGAAAAAGCCAGCATGGTAGAACAAAGGTGTTCATCCTTTTTAAAACATTAAGAACCCTGGAATAAATTACGTAAAATATTTTCCATCTGCAATTCTGTTCAATGCATGCATTTATATATAACCATTTTTCAATGCCCTCCCCCAACTCTATTACTGCTTTTATCTCCCCCATATATTATTGTCTTCAGCTGGTAAATTTCTCATGAACTTGTTTACACTTGCTTGAATTTGCTGATGAGGGGAGTTGTGAATTGATGTGTTTTTAACGATACTTCTGCACAATGCTCTTCAGTGGCTCTACCCTTCCGTGAGCCTGTTTTGAATCTCTAGAGGATTTGTTTGTTTGTGAAGGAGCACTCAGAAAGCTCTTTGAAGCTACAGGGAAAAGGTGCTACAGTGGAGTTAGTTATCCTTCAAAATAGTTACATTTCATTGACGCACCACTCAAATGATCCTTAAACACTAAGAAGTCCTAACACACAATAGCTCAAAGAGCTCCCTATTGCCTTTTCCTCCTTGGCACCCACTTGGCTTTAAGCGGCTGGCCTAAAATTAGTCAGTTCCATTTGTGGGGGCAATGTACTAAATCACCGATGATAACATCTCTCTTTCTGTTTGAGGGCTCCCCATTGAAAACACACTTGACACTCCCTAACATAAGGATCAAATCAATCTGAAATATGACTGAAGTCATTGATAACAGTTGTTATTCTGCTGAACACATGGATGGGCGTGGTAAAGAAGCAGAAAGTGAAAAGTAGCGAATGCTCCATTTGTCTCAGAATGCTCCATGGGCACATACACTGCTATCTCATTTGCCTTCTGTCTGGTTCCTAATGAGAAAAAATTAGTGATCCTTAAGTGAAAGAAAGGATGAAATACAGGAATAAATTAAGTTATTCCATTGCTTTTTCTGTTTTAAAATGTATCAGCATGAACAAAAAAACAAATGACCAACAGCAACAAAAAAAATGTTATCTGTCTGATGACAACCGGTGGCAGAAGGAGCCTCATTCTCTGTCTGTGGCTGCCAGCTTCTGTTCCACTTTCATATCCACGAAAAGTGGATCTTCAGCACAACTGAAAGCTCTTTTAAATTGAACAGTGAGTATCAGATTCCTAAAAATGATCACGCGATTTCAACAACTTCTGCTGCACAAGAGAAACAGTGACTTCACAGTCTAAAAAACAAAAACAAAAAACCAAACACAAAATCTCTTAAATTCACCTCTATAAGAATAATGACAGAAAAATATAATACATTTAAGGGCAGGAAGATACTACAACTCAATCTTTTCCAGGAGAAAAGGCCTACTTACAAGAAGGTTCTCCAAATACAGCAATGCTCAATGATTATCAGGAAAAAATGGATACCTGCCACTCTCCCAAACTAGTTGTGTTAGGTGGGGATAGGGTGGACAGGGGCCTTGTGTCTTTGCCAATCCCCACATCATCCCAAACCATGGCCATTCCTCTTTAGCAAGAGATCTTCATGGGCCCCAAGTTAATCAGGGACAAGGCTAAAAAAGAAATCTAGAGCTCATTAGGAACAGAAGAGGCTCCTTATATACATATTCTGAAAGCACAGTCATACCATTTGAAACAATCTATTTATAAGCTCTTCATGGGTCTTTAAATACGAGAGGCACTTCAAAAATTAGCTTGGCTTGTAATTTCAGCAACAGACATTGTTTACCAAATTACTGACACTGCAACATTAGATGATCAAACTAGCAATCATTAGTGAGCGCACGGCTAACCATCCGTTTAACCATTGGTTCTACCAGAGGGACACAGCGTGCTTTGAGACTGGCCAGTGCTGAACTGCAGGCACAACAGTGCAATCAGCTATTAAAATGCCTGGTAACGCAAAACTTTTTTCCCAGTGTGTATTAGGATAAAAGAGACTTAACCTCTCGTAGTGTTGTTGTATGCAGTAAGAAACACGTGAGGTTTTCAAATTATTTTCTGCAGAACAAATTCTTCCAACGGTTCTACAGCAGCCTTCAACAAATCTCTTTGTGCCTGGCACTAAATACAGTGCCGTCTCACTGGCCCACGTGCACCCTTCCAGGGCATCCAAATACCGCATCACTATCATTTAAAAACAGATTTGCTGTTTATTAGTGCAATACACAGATCCAGCTTTGGGAAAAGAAATCCTCTTTCCTTATCCACCTTAAACACCTGCTGCAGCCGCAAACCGAAGCCTCTTTAATACACAATCAGCATCAGCTAAACGCGGCTAATGAAAGGCTATAAAGCGACAGCCAGGCTGCGGCCCCAGCCGTATGTCGCCACATGTTCCGCACTTTAATCGTTATTATCGCCGAAGCTGCACGGAGGGACCGAGCCCTCGCCGCAGGACGCGGCGGCGGCGGATGGAAGAGGCGTTCGGCCCCGCGCACCGCGACTCGGCGGCGCTGCTCGCCGCCCGCGCGGGCTCCACAGGTCGCAGGGCTCCCGGCTGCTGCGGCACCGCAGCCTGAGCGCGGGGAGGGCCGCCCCCGCAGGGCGCCGCTTACCGATGCGCCGCACGTAGCGCTTTGCAGGAAGTTTCCACGCTCCCCGGTTTAATCCGCGCGAGGGGGGTCGGAGGGGAGCGCCAACGGGCCGAACGGCGATGGAAGGGGGCGGGCGGCGAGGAGGAGGCGGCGGCGGCCGCGTTTAATTTTTTAACGAGGGCGGCTCGAGCGGCACCCGGCGGGGTCGCGGTGCCGGGCGGCGAGGGGGAGCGCGGCCGAGCCGCCCCCGCCGCCCGGGACTCCGCGCAGCCCCAGCGGCCGGAGCAGTGCCAGCCGTCGGGGCTCCCACCTGGGCTTCGGCCGGCCGGGCCCGGAGCTCCGCCGTCCGCCACCATGGGCAACGCGGAGGAGACGGGTCGGTAGCGCGGGCGGTTCGGCGGGGCCGGGCGGGGCGGGGCGGCGGGGCTGTGCCGGCGGGGCCGTGCCGGCGGCCGAGAGCCCCGGGCTGCGGGCGGCGCCCCGGGGGGAACGCGGAGCCGGAGAAAGTAGGGGCTGCGCAAGCTGCGCATGGAGCGGCGGGCAACGATTGCTCGGCGGGTGCTCGGTGTCCTGCGGTTCTCGTAGCCTGCATGCCCCAGGGAAACAGGTAGCGGTTTTCCACATTCGCAAGTTAAGGGTGGCACCGGTGAACGTTTTATTTTCTTGCCTCTGTTATCTGGACCTTGGCCGCATATCCGTGAATTCACAGCACAATGCATAGCGCAGGGTCTCTTGTTCCTTGGAGACTCCAGGCTTGTCTATCTACTAAGGATAAAATCTCATTTCTGCAATTCATTGCTTGCCTGGAGGCTGCAAATGTCACTGCCCAGCTGCTGCTTCTCTGCAGGAGAATGCAGTTTATGTGGAAAAGTGTACTGAATTACATGCTGCAAAAACACTGCATGTCGGGGGATGCTTTGATACACTCACACAAAAGTTAAATGTGCTCCATTTGCTGGGCATCGGTGCCCTGGCCTTCCCACCTTACACCCACCTGTCTGCTGCCTCAGAAACCTCACCCTGAGCAAGCAGTTTTCTCCCCAGCAATGTACAGAACACAGGCATGCAGCGTGTGCATGAACATGGCAGGTTGGCTGTGTGCTCAGAGCTGCTTCTGCAGCATTTCTGGCCATGCGTTGTTAACTCAGTTTAGATCCCTTGGAAAATTCCAAATTCATGCTGATCTCTATTTCATTTGGTCTTCTTCATTGATAATCTTCTTACCCTACCACCTCCTATGCCCAATTCCTGAAATTCGATTTCTTTGACCAAGTAGTTGAGCACAAAAATGCCAGTTTCTGTCCCTAAGCACACAAACACCTTTTCAAGTTACATTTGCTGTCGCTCAGAAACGTAGACCTTGGACTGAAACTATTTGAAGTGCCTTTAGAATGACCAGCGTCAGCAGCTGGATCTGCAGCACATCTAAAGGGAGAACAGATGGCAACTGATTTAGTGAATTCTGTAACACGCTCTGGTTTATGAACTGAGTTTTCAGGACCTGAGGCTTAATCCTGCCAATGGGATGAATGCTTCCAGTTTGAGCAGCTGTCAAAGGTACTCCTTTACACTACTGAGCCACTACAAAACAAAACAAAACCAAAAAATCACCAACCAAACCAGAACCCCAAGGGGGTTCTGTGGGAGAAAGGATGAAACTCAAAACATAAGGGAAATTCCTGCCTTTCTCAGGATAGTCCAGAATTATTTAATCTTCTCAGTGTCTCTCAAAACATGAGGATACGAAAAAGGTGACCAAAGAGCTGGGACTGGGAATCTCAATCAACACCAAACACTGGCAGAGTTGGTCTGGAGATCCACTAGACTAGTAAGAGTTTCAGCAGTTTTCTTCCAGCTGACCGTCCGTGCATAATGCCATGGTATTGCTGTTCATCCCACACATGTACAGCCAGCATCCCCAGCTCACACCTCCATTCCCCTTACCTTAATAGTCTCTGTGCCAAGCTATTTTCCTCATTGCTATTTTCTCTTAGACTCGCTGTTCCAGTCTCACAAGGGCCTCCTCCAATGGCCTTTCTACTCACAGCAAGATGTTAAGGAGCCTTTCTTTATGCCAGTGTTTTTATACGGGCAGTAAATCAAAGGATGAATGGTCTTCACCTATAAAAAAGTCAGGAGACATCAGTCTGAAGCCAGCCCCTACAAAATGACTCTGCAGATTCTAACTGATTTAATGCCTGTCCCCATCACATTGCCCTAGAGGTTATCTTCTAGAATTTTTGGATGCAGGCCATGTTAGTTAGCATTCACAGTCTTCTGACTCATGATTTGACACATACTCTGCAGCAACTGAAAGGATATCTGACTAGCTGGGAGAGGACATCTAACCTGTATGCAGCACTAAAGTGTGAAAACAATGGACGTGCACTCAAGGTCAATTTGGTACCACAGTTTTGGGGATATGTAATTAGAGCAGAATGTTCTGTGAACTTTAAAGCTTCAATTACAAGTTAAGAAATTCAGGACAGGGGAAAGAAGCACACAAAGCCGTGTACTGGAGTTTCCCAGATCTCATTTCCCCAGGAAGAAAATACCCACTGTTTTCTCATGCAGCCATTTCAGACAAACTCTTGCCAAGTAAGACTAAGACAACCACTCCATGTCAGTCAAACCTCGCAGAGATTTGTCCCACAGTGTCTGATAAACAAACAAATCCAACTAATTTAAGTGCATAACCTGCAAAATGAGTGTGACATTTCCCAGGATTCAGCTCCAATGTAGGGCTCCCCATGGCCATCCCTAAGATTTTTTCTATGTACCTTTCAGGATAGCAATTCTCTGCTGTTTTTTCATTTATTTTTAGTTGTGGTGTTGTTTTGTTTGGGTTATTTGATCTGGGGGGAGGTGTGAGCTCTGTCTTCCTCAGCATCTACATTTCATTTTCCCATACAAGCCTTTCATTTAGTTTTTATAATCCAGTGTCCTAGGAATTCTGGAAGGATAACTTTTCTTGACTGGCTCTTGTTCAAATCAACTGACTTCTGACACCAATTTGTGATATTTTTTCTGCACAAGGTCAGACTTACAGAAAAACTGGAAGGATAAACAATGAAGACCTGTGCAGCATGTGCTATTATATTTCCAGAAAGTAAATATTGATTACTGTTGACATTACTTCTCTTGTAGGCTATATCCAGATCTTTTCCTCAACTTAACAGGAATTAAAACAGTGTTGACCCAAAGGGCAGAATGTCATTCAAAAGAAGGATCACATACAGCTCTATAGAATAGATGGTTTGTATGCTCTAGAAAATGTATACAGAAAGTAATAGAAAATCACACTATTTAATACCTATGTTGAGGATCAATGCATAAAGAGAAGAACAAAGAGTTGTGTCCCATCCTTTTCATCTTTGTTTTAAAATTTTCATTCTTCAAGATGACATGTACAAAAATCCCACCAATTTCTGAAGTAAGAAAGGAGACATACACAACATAAAAGTTTTGCCTGTTTTGATATTCTCAGGAATACTAAATCTTGTTTTTACTTCTGTTGCTATTAATTCTAGACTTAGTCAAGATATGGCTATAGTGCAGCATGGAGTAGAGATACTGGAGCTCTCTTTGAACTGGCTAGGGCAGGTACCAGTATCAGTGTAGTCATGGCAGCACAGAGCTTCCAGTGGCCTAATTACTCTGCCAAGAAATAAATGGATGCCTGGAAATCCCTGGGGAAGGAGGTGGTTGAATTGTTAACAAAAAGAGTTTTCCCCTGAGGCATGTTAGTTAAATAGGTGTTAACAAGAGCCAAAAATCCCCAAGCTCTAGCCTTAGAATAAAAATGCCTTTGTCCTTTGGTAGATATGATGTCCCAGGCCTTCCAATCTTCCTGCTGTCTATTGAGACTTAAGAGAGAGGGGATTTCAGTATCTGACAGAACACCCAAAATAAAGCAAAACAGCTTCCTCTGCCTCCCCGCCCGCCCCCCAACTTAAATCTACACATCAGATCACCTTAAAACTATAAAAACAAAAGTATTTAATGTCTGGAAATACACAAAAGTCTCCTGGTGGTGATGGCAGGGTGGGTCAATCCCCTGAGCTCAGCACCTTCTAAGCTCATCTTGAAATGTCTGTGAAAATATTGAGACTAAGGAGAAAAAATAAATGAGAGTAAGACTTGGGGGAGGGAATTTGCATAATTTCTTCTTCCACTAATCCTTCCTCGCACACAAGAGAATATTGTGATTTCTGTTGGTTTTTTTTGTTACATGAAGACGTACATACCGTATGCCCGTATATAAGACATATATACTGTGGGCACATGGCTGCAACATCACTACAGTGGCTCAAATGGTCAATTCAAACATATGTTTCAACAGTGCATGCCCCTAGGCACGCTTGGATCACATACGAGTGGCACTCGCTGCATGGACGTGTGTAGAGGAAGGTAAAGGAGCAGTTCTACCAATATATTCACTTCCAATTCCTGCATAGCTCAAAATGGAGCCCAAGACTAGAATTGCACACACCATTTTATTTTGAAAGTCATTCCTATTTATTTAGATTTCTAAGCTAAATTACATGACCAAAATTCATATTATTTGGCTGAAATTCCCTTTGAGATCAATATGAGTTTAAGGACTAGATTAAGGACTGAGGCAAAGCCATTCCAGAAAATGTATTAGTTTATCCAGGCGGATACCTTGTGAGTATTGTCTAATTAAAATCTGCAGGCTTATGCCCAGTCTGACAAAATGCTATTTGCAACAGCCATGTGTGAGATCATTGTGTTGAGGAGATAGAGCGCCAGCAAATTGTGAGTCTGCTGTTAGTAAGTGGATGGTACGTAGGAGCTGAAAGTTTCAATTTTATCACATTAACTTAAATGTGAAAAAAAACACAAAAACAACAGGACACTACAAAAATCCAAGCTGTTTTTGATTTCAAACTGTTCATATGCCACAGAGCTCAGACATACACACCCCATTTAGTAACTGATTTCACTTTTCTATGCAGGCAAAGAAGCAATAGAGGTGAAAATCCCACAGAGTCACCAAGATGTGATGTCCAATGATGAGCAGTAATTACTGCGGCAACACTTCAGCCAGCATGAGCGTCAGTGAAATGTCTGCCTTCCCTCTGACTTTGGAGCAAAAAACTGGTTTCGCCTTTGTGGGGATTTTGTGTGTTTTCTTAGGACTTCTAATTATCAGATGCTTCAAAATCTTGCTAGACCCCTACAGTAGTATGCCTTCTTCAACATGGGAAGATGAAGTCGAGGGGTTGGATAAAGGGACCTTTGAATATGCTCTTGCATGAAAAGTCACACGATATCCTGCCTTAAATTTGATGTTGATTTCATTTTGGAAACCAACTGTTGGTACATTTGTTACATATGCATACGTACATTTTGGAGATGTGTTGGTATCTGTGGCATTCATTTTGTTAAATAAATGTTTAGTGCAAACTCAGAAGTAGCCCATTTGTATGTGTTATATTGCTGAGATGAGAGGAGAATCAACTGCTAACTCAATTCTTGCCTCTCAAGAAGAGAATGTGCTGTACTAATTACTGTTTGTAAGGAACCTGTACTTTGCAACTCCTGAGTGAAACATTTAAGTGGTCTCCTGCAAACAGTGCATACTTCTATTTCCTTCCACTCACCTGACAGTATGTCTTGATGGAACAGGTCTTCCTTCTATTCTACAGCAGTGGAAAGACAAATGGAACTAGTGGAAAGGAAACAAACATCATTAAAAATATTTTGTATTCTACACATGCAGTATTTCAAAGTACATTACCTACTCAAAAGTCCAGTAGGAATTAAGAACACCACAGTTTTACTCTCCCAATGTCAGGGAGTTAAAACCTTAAGGTGAAAGAGACCAAGTAAACATTATGCAACTAACCTGATAATCCTACTGAACTGGTCAAGGCGTGTCAATTTTTACTCTCCTCGGGTACAGAAGATCAGTCAGTTTAAACTGGAACTTCACCTGTTGTACTATTAGTTGCAATCTGTTCTGTCTGGTTAATAGCTCCCAGTAGTAATTAGACCAACTTGTCAAGGCAAGCAGAGGCACTCACACTGCACATACTCACTTGTGCCCAGGGTCCAAGAGCTATGTGCAAATCTTTGTACCCTCTGGCTCCTCTCCTCAGCTTTTTCTTTTCATTGTGTTCCTACATCTGTGCACAGCGTATAATCTTGAGTGTCAAATGGGAAAACTGGTCATAGGAAATCTTATCAAGACAGCAGAACTGACAGTGAAAGTGGAGACTAAAACCACAAGGTCACCCTCAAATACACAGCTGTTTAGCAAGTATGATAGTACTTGACAGAAATACAATTTCACTTTTAAGAAAGTTGTCAACAAAATTTTAAGCACTGCCACCTTTGCTAAACAGCTCTCTTTGCAACAAGCAGTAAAGACAGAAACCAGTTACAGAGATTGGTTTCTTTTGCACATAATACACATGCAAAATACATGTGGTTCCTTTTGCTGTGTATATTAGGCAGAGGCAGTCAGTGAAACAGTGAACCTCAAATGCCATTTGGAACATGAAATACCAGATTGCACAGGGAAGGACACAATCTCCTGTCTGAAGAACAATAGGTACAGGCAACACCTATCAGCAGTGGCTTATCTAAATTATAAATAATTGTATGAATGCAAGAGCTTTAAAACTGCTTCAGAGTCTGCCAAAGAAAAAAGTGCCAGACTCTCAGAGATTCAGTAGATTGCATTTATCCTAGTTAATTTAACCATAAAACCAAAGGCAGATACTGATATGCCGTTTCACATGATCTGTTCTGCTAGATAGGATCATCCACTGCAGAGACCTGACACTGTCATTCTTTTTACATACACCTAATCAGCAAAGCTGAGCCCTGTGCTGTCAGGTTAGCATGCTGAAGATACTTAAGTTATCTGGGATAAATATAGTTCAGTTATCTCTAAACTACATGGCAAGTACAGCAAACATACCTGAAGAACCCCACTACTTACTGACTTCTTCTGTTTTTGACCCTAATCTGTTGCTGAAAGCAATTACCAAATTTCCTTATGATTAAAAAGCTTTGCCATTTCTTTCTTGTCTTCCCTGTATCCCTGAAAAACATCAGTGTCAACCTTCCCAGAAGAAATGCACAAAACCTAATTTTTCAAAGGCTTTCCTTAAGTATACAGAGTAAAACTTTCAGCAGGGCTAGGAGTAATTAGCTCAAAACCACATGTGGGACAAGGAAACCCACCAGCGTCTCTTAAAGAGCACAGGAGGGATCCCAGCAACTTCACGGAGCCTCTTCTGCATAAATGCACTCTGAGCATTTTATAAATTCTTGCTATCTGCACTACAACATATGCACAGCTGAAAAATAAGATTATGATCTGTGCACAGCATCGGACATAGCGGGGAGGGAAATGGAGATAACAGAAGTATTTTTGGGCCCCCTTGGAAATTTTGCAATACCATAAAGCCAGTAATTGTAATGGATAGGTACATTTGCTGGTTAATAGTTAACAAGCTAGAATGCTTCTCTAAATCACCATCTAGAAATGTTTTGAAAGTAAGGGATTGGACAGTTTATTCAATATATTAAGCAGAAGAAAAATCTGACCAATAAGGCACAGTCTGAAACACTTAAAAGTGAGGGACACGCTATATGCATGAATAAAAGAAGCAGCTTGTCCTTCCCAAAAAACACAAGGTTGAGTGGCAAGTTAAATTATCCTGAATAAGGTAAATCTGATAATTTTTGAATAATGATAGAATATTAAATGTAAAATTAATGGCAAGTAACAGTCGAGAGACTTCTGGAAATACACCGTGAAAAACATCAAGTATTATTTTCAAGAACAGCAGAAAGGTAAGAAGTTTTATTTTCCTAGCCAAACAGTAACATTATGGAAATAAGACAGTGATATTATAGTTATTTATTTGGTAGCAAAAGTCTCATTGCCATCAAATGATTGTGATTTCACTCAGTCATGGGGACAGAAACAAACTTAATTTCACTGACCTTAGTGACAAAAGATTTGTTTTCACTCTTTCATGCCTGAAGATGAAACACATTCTTACAATTTTAAAAGGTTGAAGGAATACTGTGATGAGAAATGTGTAATTATGGTAATAATAACAATGCGGATCATCCAAAAGCAGAAGTGAAAGGAATTAAATAAATGTAACACGTTGCTGTGAAACTTACAAAATGTTAAGCAGGAAAAGTAACAGAAATATGAGAGGGTTGTAAAGTGCTTGCATTTCAGGGAGGTTACAGCAGATTATCATTGATAGCTGATGGAAGAAGGGAGGAAATACGCCTTAGCTGTACCTCACACTGAAGTTGGAGGACATCTGATTATCTGTTCTTCAAATTATCGTTTTGATACACGATTTTAGACAAAAATACACATTGCCAAGGTCTACATATCAACACAGTGTTTTATCTTGCAGTGCCAGAGCCAAATGCATTTCACAAAATCATAGAAAATTTTAAATTGGAAGCAATATCTTGAGGGTTCCTAGTCCAACCTCTTGCTGAAAGTACAAAATTCTAAAAGAATTATTCTAATGGGCTTGTTTACCCAGATTTTCAGTTCACATATTATTTTTATAGATATATTTTGTTTTTAGAGCTTTCTGCTATTATGCAAACTTGCAAATTTTCAATGTCTAAATAGGCTTTTAGTTAGTTTTAGTCAGAATAGGCCGAAACTGTTAGACCCAGACTCCTATTGAATTATACAGGTCAATACAATCACACTCTTGTGTCTCCTTTGAAAAAAATTTGAAAACATATACATTGCCATTGCTTTCTATATAATCTGAGTTTCTCGAAAACAACAGGTGATGCATGCCACTCCAGGGCCATGTAGGCCATCCCACATGCTGCAGTGATACTTAACCAATTAAAGGCCTTAAATATTAGCACCCCTTTTGTTCTTGGGGTTTTTGTTTATTTATTTGCTTGTTTTTGAGGGATCTGAATGGAAAAGTGGAGGTGGGAAGCAGATAGTGCAGGTATTATGTGTTACAGGCTGCCATTCAGAGGGACCTAGACAGGCTAGGCAAACGAGTCAACAGGAATCTCCTGACATTCACCAAGGACAAATGCAAGTCCTGCACCTGGGACAGCAATCTCCTGCACTGTAGGGGATGGGACCTCACTGGCAGGTAGCAGCACTGCAGGCAGTGACTGATGAGCCTGCACAGTCAGCAACATGCCCTGAGAGCAATGAAAGCAGTGTCCTGGGCTGTTTTAACAGGACCATAGCTGGCAGACCAAAAGCAGTGATCATTCCCCTCTTTTACACACTCATCAATCTGCACCTGAAAGCCAGCTTCTAGGCTTGTTTACCTGTCCCCTGCAATTCCCCATGTAAGAGAGAACGTAGAAAACCTGCACGCATCACATGGGGAGCTTCTAGCAGAGTCAGGGGCAGGAACATAAAGAAACTGGGCTTGTTTAGCCAGAAGAAAATGTATTAATGTATTGCGCAGCCGCAGTACCTATGGAGAGGTTACCGACAAGGCACACCAAGGCTCTTCCTGAAGTACACAGCAGGAGAGTGAGAGGTGATGGTCGTGAAGTAATGCACAGAAGGTTCTAACTGGGTGCACATGAAAAAATCACGACAGGACAGGAGTATTAGAATAGCTGCCATCAGTTCTGGAATTTATCCTTGCAGGACAGGATTGAGAGACTTGACTGATGACAGTACTCAGAGGCCTGATTTACATTCAGTGTTCAATCTGCTTTGAGCAGGATACTGGACTAAATAAAACTTTTAAACTCCTAATCTGTGGGATTCTATGACTTGCTACACATTCTATCAAACTCTCTTACAGGGTGTCTTGAGTGTACAAGTGTAAAACAGTAAAATTCTATGAACCTTCCAATGCTAAACCTACTGTTAATATTTCTCAATAATTAATATCTCAGCACAGATTTATACTTCAGCTATTTAGTTTGGCAAACCTAGTGCTATTTTTGGATATGGCTCAGCTGTTGATCTTTCATATGTCATTAATTTTATTTACATAGAAAATAAATGAATTGCAGTGTATTAATTCTCTGCTTATAAACTGTTGCCATTCTGGAATGGTTGAAACTTGAAGTCTAACTTTTGTAACTAATTTTAAAAAGCGCGTTTGATTCAAGATTTTTAGGCCAATGTACTTATTATAGACTGTGGGAGAATTATGATGCCATATGTAAGTGGAACATAAACAGTAGATGGACTTCATGTAATTCTCGTACTGCCTACACTTCCACAGGCTTCAGTTCAAAATTCGCCTTATTAAGAAAAGTACTGTATCTGAAATACAATTTCAAGCACTTACAATCTGATCAATAGCCCATTTTATTAAGATAGAAAAATCCCCACAAATTTCGTCTTTGATGGGACTACTGATTATTTGACACAGGATGACAGTCTCATAGAAGAGGGAAATTTTTTTTTGAAAATTTACCTTACTGTGCAAGTTAACAGAAATGTTTTACTCATAAACGTTTGTAATGGCAGAACCACAGCGGACAAATTTAGGAAGACTGCTTAGGAAGCTTATTACTTTAAGAACAACGACTTCATCTGTAACAGCACTAGCCCTTTATTGCAGCTAGAAGAGTGGTACCTGCAGCCACAGAAGATCAGAAGACTCAGTGACCTAAGTCTGTCCCATTCCTGAAGATGTCAATGAATAATTCTCCAAATGTATTCTTGGATCCAAATGCAAATCGGTTTCAAGTTAACATAATTAATGAAAGCCATGACAGCAACGAAGCATCCCAAGAGGACGTGGGCTCTGACCCACCACATTATGAAGAAACATCTTTTACTGAGGAAGCACATAACAGGCTGAGAATCAGTTACAGACCGGGAAAAAGAGAATTATATGACAATTTTCTTCAAAATGGGGAGAAAACAGAAGCCAGTTTACATCCCTGTGATACTCACCATAAAATGTACTATCTACAAACTTTTGGCCATAACACCATGGATCCAGTTCCTAAAATTGATTATTATCGAAACACTGGCAGCGTCAGTGGGAATAAGCTCAACAGACCAAGCTTATTAGAAATTCATGAACAACTGGCAAAGGTAAGTGAAAAGGAAACACTCGATTTCTCTCTGTTCCATTTCCAGGCTGTTAATTCTGTTTATTAATATGAAAAGGTCCTTAAATTCGTGGATCTTGCCCAAGACAAAAGTACAACTAATCACCATATTTCCTATGGTAGCTGCAGTATGTTTTCTGCCCTATGACCTGCTTAAAGCAAATATTCTTATTAAATGCTGATAGCAATGAACTCGATTAGCAGAAAATCATAGCTTAATCTTCCCTAAAAATGTAAAACTACCATATTTCTTCTGTTTCACTTAAGATGGCAGACGATGAATATTAACCCGTAATTTGAACAAATTACACAATTCACATTTATTCCAAATTTAAATTTAACATCAATGCGTAACAAAGTTTCACAAACTCCTGAATTTTGTATTCACTAAAATATATAGCTACAGCTATTATAAAATATATTATGAGCAATAAAAGCAATTTCAACCAGTCAGAAATCAAAGCACTACCTGTTTATTGCAGTAACCATTCAGATAGCAAGAAGGAATCAAGAACACACATGGAAAAAGAGAAAAGTAGACGACAATTTTCAGGTACCAATTCAGTGAATGAATTTTGTCCTTGGTCATTGTACCAATGATTTTGGGAAAAATCTGAAGAGTCTCTGGAATGACCACATATAAAGTATTCATCGAAGAATAATCTGGCTGAATTGCTTCTAACCTATCATGAAGCTCGTCAGCTTTTAGGTTTGTCACCCTCTATACCTTCTTACCAGAAGAAAATACAGTGGTCACATATAATCTTTGGGGTTTGCAGATTCAAAATTTCCACTGCAAATAATTTGATAAGCTAGCAACATTAGATATCAGATTTCAGAATTTCAGTACCATGTGTGATCCTGCCTCAGCAAAATTCACATATCTATAGAGCTTTTAAGGCTCAAACTCCAAACTCCAGGAATCATCTCCATGCAAAATAGCATGGAAAATTATTAAGGAACAACTAGATCAAGCACTTTGAAACAATTAAACTATTCAAAAATCTACTGCTAAGCATTACTGGAATAACTGCAATACTCAACTGACTTTGATGAAATCAGATTCTTTCCCCTTGAGCTACAATAATAAATTCTTCATAAAAAAGCAGAGGAGAGACCCCAGGATACTCCCACTTACAGAACTAAAATCAAACCTTCCTCGAGTTTCTTTTGTGCGCTTGTCAAGACAGGGCTGGAAAGAGATCACCACTATATTCAAACACACTGAAAATGTCAATGGGCAGACAAAAAAACAAGCAAACAACTAACAAACAACCCACCACTCACTCTTTTTCTGTGTCAGGCAATACTGAAATGACAGATCTCCATAGAAAAAAAAACATTCTCATTACCTGTCCACTGTCTTTTACATACTTCTGAGGTGTGAATAATTCTGATAAGCATCTATTTTTTGGTCCAGATCTTACTCAAACTCTATTTCTTTGGAGATTCACCTGTCCTAAATAGGATCAATAAAAATAAATGAAATGAAGCAGAAAAATACTAGGAAAATTAGGACCTTATTCTATAGTATCCGTTTAAGACAGCTAAATGTCTACAGTCCCGCTTTTTTAAGGTCTCCACAAACCTGCATAAAACGGCTTACATAGAAAGGAGAAACAAGTTACCTGAGTAATCACTTATATTTCCATAAATGAATGCAAAGTGGATGTGAATAGGGGTGAATATGAATTCTGCTCTGCCAGATGTGCAGATGAGTAAGTGCTACTCAAGGAACTAAACACATTTCCATGCTCAAAAGAAACTTCCTATTACAGAAATAATTTACATCAATGGTATGCAGGTAGAGGGAAAAATAGTGTATTTTGGCTCTGAACACAGTGCTAAACGAACTTGTACTGAACATGAGCATATTAAGGGATTTTCAGTTTTGACCACTACCAGAAAATTCAGGTTTTTTGCTATTGGGTATCTCATTTGGGCTAGCAGATTGGTTTGTTTGTTTTAAACAAACAGACAAATTGCTTGGGGTTTGTTACAACTTTCACTGAGAGAAGGTTAAAAAGAAGGCATCTTCCATTCTAGAATAAAATGAATGGAAAATTGCTTTACGGGTTGGGACTGCAAGGGATGAGAAAAGAGCATCGTCTAGCTCACTTGTCCCCATACTTTTTCTATTATCTATTATCCAGCTTACAGAAGAATAATCTTATGCTTCTTACAATACAAAGGTGAATGTCAGAGGTAATGAGATTTTTGTTATGCTGGCAATCTGCTGTGCCCATATGTGCAGTGAGGCCCTGGTTTGAGAATCACTGGCCACAGCACTGGAACAAACAACACACCATTAGCATGGCTGAAGTCCATTCCTGACTGTCCCACAGACTCATTTTGTGACCTTTGACTGACAGACCTTTGTGGTATTTTCAAGATAGCACTGAACAGGATAGTTCCTAAGATAGAAGAAATTCAGCAGCTGCCAGGTTAAAAAGTACAAGGATATTACAATAGTGGCTCTGTTTCTGGAAACAGTGCAGGAAGAGGTGGCAGGCACTACCAGAAGTACCATTTGCTTGTGCATACCAAAGTGCTCTGAGGTCTGCCTTCAATTTCAAGAGAGATTCCATAAAAATCTAGTTTTCTAATGTTTTTGCTAAGCGCTTCAGGATTTCCCCATGAAAAGCACCACAGAAAGAAAAACGCAATCAAAGGTAATTTAGGCATTCTGAAGATTAAATAAACCTGAGATCACCAAAGAGTAGCTTAGTAGAGATGAGCACTACGATAGTATGAAAAAACTGAGCTCGTACTAACAGGCGAGAGCAGTATGTGCAGCTGAAGCTGTAGCAGGCTCTCCAGTAATCCCGAAGGAGAGGATGAAATGCCACAGTGTGTGTGGTGGGGCTTCGACTAATATCCCAGGATGCACATCTAGAGATGATGCTTTAATCCTTTTTTCTTTACACCGAAGTCTGGATTTACCACACCATACCCCAAGGCAATTCCTTCTCTCCCCAGCTTTTTCAAAACTGAAATTGTTGAAGACAGCTGTCTTGTCAAAAACCAATGCCAAATTTTGATAAGAAATTGCATGTATTTGACTTCAGATTTCTAAACATCACATAACCATTCCCATTGTGCTTTGATGCTGGCTTAACTTCAGAAGATAAATATTAATATTTAATACATTTTAATATGTAATTTTTCAAATGTCAGAATCTAAGGCAGGCTGAAAGGGACTTCAGATATCTAGTTCCCACACTGCTGGAATCAAATGCGCATCTTCTTTTAGCAAGATATGTCAGCTTTTGCACATATTAAGCCACAAAATACCAATTAAATCCCTAAAAAATAGTCCAAGTGCTATTTCACAGCTGATGGATGGTGATAATTACTTGGGCTTAATATTTGTCCTACATAAAAAATGATCTAACCTTTCTTCGTCTTGGTTATTCTCCTCACTTGTTATGATGACTTGATGAGCTCATCATCTTTATCCTCAGGAGAGAGGAAGGCTAACCTGTTCTGAAACATGGAAAGGAAAATGTTGTGTTTGATTTTTTCTGTCTTTTTTATTTAAAAATCAATCAATCAAACAAATGAAAAAAAACCCCACACAAAAAATCCAACAACAACAATAAAGTTAACTTCTGATTTTGGTAGATTTTCAAATTATCCTGCCACTTTATTCCACATACTTCATGCATGAGGGGCATGGGTACACCTACTTAGTAAACAACCAATCATTGACTAAAGCACACCAACTTAAAATGCATTTATGGAAGGTTTAAGGCCATAATTTATGATAATGGCATGTGAGAGCACAAATTAATTCAAAGTGTGAATGAAACAACTTGTTTAAAGTGCAAACACTGAACACTTCTTTTTTTTTTTTTTTTCTTTGAAATTCTAACCAGCATGTATGCAAACAAGCCAAAAAACAAACAAGCGTTATTCTGATAATTCTCCATAATTCATTTTAATTATGTACTGCATTTAGAGCAAACACAGCATTGTTATTTTTGGGTGAGAATTGTCAAAAATAAATATTTCAGGAGCTCAGTCACAGGTTTTCAATAGATTTTGTATTCCCATTTCGCTTAGAGTCAAAAAGGCCATATTCACCAACTTGAGTATATGTCAAAATGCATTATCCAGTCACTTATTTCTCATCTGTGAGCACTAGCCTAAATTTATTGTGTCAAAGGCATTCTAAAATTTTCCATTGTGGTGACTGGAGACCCATCCATGAGGAATCCAAACATGAGCATAAATATCCCATACTACTGGTCTTTGTGCCTGTACGGTATTTTATTTTTTTAAGTCTATGTACAAACACAGAAAGAGCCTTAAAACATAAGCAAGATCTAAAAACCTCATCTGTTTCCCAGAATCACAGATGGTTCCCCTCTTTGACTTGTTTAGTTAATCTGGAAACATCTTCATCCCTCTCCAAACCCTAAAAGTACCTTGATTCCTCTCCAGAAGTGATGCACACTCCTGAAAGTCTGCCAGACAGTGACAATGCACACAGTCCTTCCTGAAGGTCCTTGCACAGGACCCATACAACATTAGCAACAGTTAATCTAATTCTGATTCAGTGCAAAGCCAGTCAGAACTTTGTATAAACATTTTTACAAGAAAGAAAACAGCAGTGACAGAAAGTATAAACCTCAGCGCTGTGACTAATTCCTATTCAAGCCACAAGAAACATATCATGGTGCTAAACAGAACTGATGAGATAAAGTACAGATTTAAGTCTGTAACTGAATGTGAAAGATCCAAAATTCTGGGCTATTTATTCTAGTTACATGGCAAATGTGCTGATTTTTAATCCTATCTAGGACAGTTAAACAAGAGCTGAATAAAACACATGAAGGGTTATTCATTTACCACATTATTAATCACATTTCACCAGTATTTCTGATTGTTTTCAAGAATGTGTTGCTGTTTCGAGGACATTTGCTGCTGGAATTATGTTTGTATATTAATCAATGGAAAATACCAGAGTTCATCTCACAACTTATTTGCCATGCAGGTAGATCTCCTTTCACCAGTCAGTCATTATCCCCCTTTCTATTCTACACTTATTAACATTCATAAATTGTTGCAGCAGAATACGAAAGACAGGAATGAGACCCTCATTACATTAGGAGATCTACTAAAATATCAACACAACATAACATATGTTGAACAGAGTTTAAAATAAAACCAATTTATTATCAGGTAATGATACATTTACTTTGCTTAAGTGATTCTATCATCTTTTCTTAGCTAGCAAGCCCACCTGTTGATGCCTGGTGCCAGCAGAGTACTGCACTCTATTCATGGGACAGTAAAGCTTAATTTTTCTTGGATTTCCCTTATTCTACATCTTTCTAACTCAACAGTGTGTTTGTTTTCTCTGTGATCCTTCAGAACATAGCTGTGAGCACTGGCTCAGTGGAGAGGGTGGCTAATGGAGAAAGCACTGCTGGAGATGAGGCAGCAGCCAGCAAGGAAGAAGAAAAGAAAACGGGATTTGTCAAGTTTGGATGGGTGAAGGGTGTGCTGGTGAGAAACTTTTCTGCATTTTCAAAACATAAAATAAAATAAAATGTAGGATTAGTCCTACAATATCAAGCTCTTTTAAAAAGAGAGGGAGGTATAACTGAAGGATGTTTGGGGTGGTCCCCAGGAGCCTTCTTTGTGTACCATCATGTTTTTGATTAACACTACTTTCAGTGTTATGCTAATGCAATATTATTTATTTAAAACCTAGGTAAGATGCATGCTCAATATCTGGGGTGTGATGCTTTTTATTCGACTTTCCTGGATTGTAGGTCAAGCAGGAATTGGTATGTATCTTATTTAATACCATTTTCAACAGTGAAAAGAATAAAGAGGATAAACTATACACGACTGTGATTAATATATAATCTGAGATGTGTATTTGCATGTGGAAATAAATAATGTTTTCAAATGCTTCCCAGGGTAAAATATGTTAATCCTCCAAACTATTGGAATTTTCCAGACTACCAGCCAAATTACTGCTCAGAGGCATAGATCTGTTAACTATGCATATGATCATCACATTTGAATATTTCTGAGCTTTGGTGAAATTTGTATTTAGATCCTGTAACAGATGTAAACTTTGGGACTCAAGCCAATTTCTAATACGTGTGTACAGAATTAACCTGTAAGAGTTCACACTCTGCTTATCTGTGAATCCCAAACCTTGTCATCTGCATATTAAAAACAACACTTCTTCACACTTGTCTGCAAAGATGAAAACAGAATTGGAAGGAGGTCTCATCTCATCAGGATTTTATTTTTAACTATAGCAGAGCACTAGATGCTACACTTATTAAAACTTTGTTACCTCTTTTGTTAACAAAGTACACCTCATAGCCTGCTGTACCTTTGCTTCTCTACTGTATTTTAATTAACCCAATTCCCACTTCGCACCCTTGGGAGACTGGGCCTCAGGGGCTCCATTCAATATGTTGAGCAATCAATGCAAAAGAGCTCAAAACACAGCAAGAACCTCCCACAACTAGAAGCAGCCCAGGAAGGTATCATTAACTGTTGTGTGGCACAACTTCCTTTTGACAGCTGCTGTTGAGAGGAAACACACATTGAACCATGACAGCAGTGTCACTGTGTTACATGCTTAAAATTAAAATGGGGCCCTAATTTTTGATTAACATCTAGACATCATAAAAAGCACCAATCCAAAGGGCCAATGGCAAGTATTTCAGTTTGTATTCTCACAGAATGGAAATACTGAGTAGACATGAGCTGGAGTCCGAAGTCTGGCCTCTGGGTCTCAACTCACCACATCTTGGACAAAACTCAGTGCTCAAATTCAGACGGAGTAAGACCATCACTGATTGATTTGTTATTGGCTGAGATGAAACACTGAGCAGAAACATCTCCAGAATTTTGCCTGACTGAGGTGGAACTTCCAGCAAAACACATTAACTTTACATAAGTTTTGTTTGAGGAAGACTGAGCTTTAAAAAAACATATACAAGTGAAATACTCATTAAGGGGGAAAAAAAAAAAAAAAAATCCAGCCACAAACCTCTAGGCACAAGAAGGAAAAAAAGCCAACACAATAAAAGTTCCAGAACTAAGCGGAAGAACTTTACCTACTTTTGCAGTGCTCCATGCATGGCTCCAGCACTGTGCCTGACAAAGGGGTGCTTGCTGACTTTATGATGCATACCAAATGAGAGCACGCAGCCCAGGGCACTCATAAGTATATGCCTTGCCATGAAAACTCTGCATCTTAATATTGCCAAGACTTTGCTCTGGGGTTTCATGCAAAATTAGTTTTTAAGGGCAGTTTAGTAACTTATTGAGATCATCAAGAAGTATTACTTTGTTTTGAGGTGTGAGAATAGCCATAGGCAAGAGTAATTCATTTTAGAACGACTTACTTAGCAGCCATACACCTAGGTTTCAATCTAAATTTTAATCAGATTTTAGCATTAATTTGCACCAACATCAGTAGCATTTCTGCTTTCGTGTTTAATTTTACCATTTTAATTCACAGATAAGCAGATCCTCTTTTCCTATGCTTTATTGCCCTGCTATTGCTTTTTTAAAACTGCATGTCTTATTTAAGGATGTTACTTCTACTACTTCTGAAAATGAAACATCAAATTCTATTTGGATAATCTCTCAGTATGTTTTCGGAATGTCTTGTAAACAATGAGTTTAAATCTGTAGCCAAAACTTAAAGAGAACAGTGATAGAAGCTCAACATCGTGATAACCTGGGGATTTCACATAGTAGTACTACTAACATGAAAATTAAATCTCAACCTACCATCTGGGCACCATTTATATTCCCATAGTTACTGGGCCAAAGAGAGAAAAACCCATTATTTCCTTATTCTAATAGGCTGTCTTGGGGAAAAAGCTCTAAGAAGGAAAAAAACCAGGGCCTGGGTTTATCATCAAGTAGGACAAAAGGCACAGGCTGATTCTGATAAGAATCAAGGTCCACAACCAGTCCTGTATTTTCATGATACCTGGGTACTCTCCATCTGTATTTGTACCTAAACATAGAATGGTTAACCAAAGACACCGAGACACCAAGTTTATGTTAACTGAAAATGTGGCCCCAAATATTACAACTGTGTTACACTAGATTACATTACAGTAATGTTTTGGTTGTGTCACTTGAATTATTTTATGCATTTTTCTTCTTAAATGTAAAAAATATATTTTTTTAATTAATATTAAGTCTTCCCAAGCAGATATTACTCATCAGATTAGCAAAACATGTGCCCCTAATTAACATATACATTTACAACATGGCCTGTGAAATCTAATAGGAAATTCCAGAAAAATAGTCCTCAGGATGAATGTGCACTTGAGAAACGATTTTGGCACAACTTTAAGCATAATGTCTCTGATGTTCCATTTAGGATGTAACAGCTGACTAATCGTCATATTCAGCCGCTTTTTGCACACAAAATGTATACAGTTCAACAAGGTCCTTCTATGCAACATGTGGTGGTAGCTGACCAAAAGAAATGCCCACTGGGATTATTATTTTTTTTTAATGTGGACTACATACAAAATAAGTGTATGACTTGTTATAAAATGGTTCAGAAATTAGTAGGGTAAAAGTGATTTATTAGAGTCTCAAATCACTTCATATATTCTATGTTGTGCTATAAAACATTTGTATCCCTGTGTTACATTGTTTTCAAAGGATTGTGATAACAAATCTGTAACTTAGGCAGTGAAAAACATTCACTCATAGGCTGGATGTCTATAACCATACAGTATGAACAGAAGTTAGTAACCTGGTCTAGAAACCAAGACGTAGAAATACGGCAGATGAATCAATATATTTGTAGTTCTAGTTGAAATCAGTTGAAGGATGCAAGTTTCAATTTGCAGGAGCCATGGTCAATAAATACTGCTATAGGCAATATATTATCTTCAGTTCCACACTGAAGACCTCTGTACTTTACAGAAAGAGAACTACTCCATAAGTGTTGGTAAGTTCAGATAAAACCAAGAACTGATTCAAAATTTTTCTCCAAATGATAATTATTTCAATTTTTTTCTTCTCTTGTAGCTACAAATAGGAATATAAGCTATAAATTTGAGAGAAAGTATCTTATTTCTTCATCAGACTTGAAAGAAGAAAGTACTCTTCAAATACAGAGCCAAACTTTTCTCCATATTTCCAGAAAGCATAGCAAAAGCAGAGGCCATAATTGTAGTTCAGGAGGTCCAGATAGGACATAAGGACATATTTTCTCCATGGGCAGGTCGTCCAGCACTCCAACATGTAACTCCAAAGAGGCTGGGGGATTTTTATGGAGGTTTTGGGGATCCAACAATCTGAAGCTATCATTGAGTTAATCCAGTGTTGGTGATAGTTCAGCTCTGGCTGAGGGGCTGAACTCTACACCTTCAGAAGTCATTTCCAACTGATGTTTCTAGGAATCTAAAGCAAACTAGACACCTAGCATGGTTTCACAAAGTTGGAAACACACTCAAATTTCAAAGTCTTACTGAAATTGAGTTCACTTGTCAGTAATATTGATCTTCAGATGTTTATCTGTTTCCATTTAATTACATAATTTTCTGATGTCAGCTAAAAAAGGATGCTAAATTATTGAAGATTATCCATTACAGGCTACTTAAAGTGAATGACATCTGGGAAGCAACATTTCCACTTTTGAATCTTGATCTTGTGTTACAGTAAAATTGCTTTTTGCAAGGAAAGAAGGCGATGAGGAGAGAGTAGGTTAGCACGGCACTTGACAGCCTAGCAAATAAGAATGTTGAAGGATCATACTCAGGCCTTGTTTCTCTACCTGATAGATTCCTTGTCCTGTCCTGTCTGAAACTATACAGTCAGTCTGTCTCCAATTCAATATTTAACTAACTGATGAAAGACAGAAACATTCTTACAAGAAATCTGGTTAATCTCTTCTCCTGAAGAGCCAGGATATATATTAAAGGTACATAGAAGCATTCAGACCAAGGAATACTTGCTTGCTCATTTCACTCTGCTATTGAAGAAAAATATAAAATCATAAAGGGGCTTCTGGCTTGGGTGCTCCTATCAGAAATCATCATTGCTCGGAGACTGATGGGAATAATTTACAGCTGGCACATGGGCTCCTTGGAAGCGTTCTGCAAATTCCAAATGGTCAACAAACCAACTTTCCGTTTATTGCTCTGATTCTGGCCTGAAAATTCCATTTAAATAGAGAATGATTTGTAGGAATCATGGAACATGAGTAAACTATTTTATCTTGTTATTACTGACAGGTCTTGGAGTAATCATAATTCTCCTCGCCACGATGGTAACCTCAATTACTGGGCTGTCAACTTCTGCAATAGCAACTAATGGGTTTGTCCGTGGAGGTAAAATCTTTAGGGTTACTAATGCTTTCAAGCTCCAAAAGATCTTTATGTATTATTTTTCATATGATGCAAACCAGAGGGATGCTAAACCAAACGATGGATCTACAGGATCGGGAGGTAACAATTCTAGACAGCTCTAATCACAATTAACTGCATGTTTGAGTTGTCACTTTTCATAAATTCCACATTTCAGTTCAGTCTCTGAAGTACATTTCAGAAGTTCCTGCCAAATGCAGAGTGAGGAATGGCATCTGGATTTGCAATTTTTTCATTCTTACCTTTCAGCAGGTCTTTCTTATTCAGAGCCTTTCAGGTTGGACATCCTTGGACAAAACAAGCACCGCACTCTTCCTCTTATTTTTAAGTCTGATGCAGATCGGTGGATATCTTCAATTTAATTCCTTCCAGTATAATTCTTCATAATACCCCTTACGTTTCAGCTACCTCCTTAGAAGATGAGCAAATATTTTCACTGGAAAAGTAAAGCACACATCAGATATCTTATCAAAAAAGGTTTCAGTACATTTCAGAGCCTTAAAGTTATAACCAGTCCATGCTAAACCTCTGTGGAAAACAGCAAGTTCTTACTACATCATTTAAGCAGAACAGGTATTTGAATACACTTGAATATACTTTCTTTTTCGAATCTTTCAGGTCTTGGAATCATAGTTATTGCTCTGAGCGTAGTAGTAACAACTTTAACAGGTATCTCCATGTCTGCCATTTGCACCAATGGAGTAGTAAGAGGAGGTAAGTGAAAATCATTGCAGGAAAAATACAGAATTCTACAGATTTGAATTAGAAAAAAAGTGGGAATTAAGTATGTTATAAGCAAAATAAGAATAAATAAATATATTTGGGATGATCTCTCTCAGTGGAACAACAGTAATTTAAAACATTTATAGTCTTAAACATTTCTTGGCAAAAAAATATTATGTAAGAGGGGATGAAATAATTAACTGGCAAAGTAATATGCTCCATTTATGGTGACACACAAAAAAGGATTAATGACTCACTGCATTCCTCTGTGGGAGCTTTAAAAATGTATCACAGCATAAGATTATACATGCTAAATTGGGATGGATCTAAGTAAGGTAGAACTTATCCTGAGGTGAAGTTTCCTCTACTCTGTAGAGGGCTGCTCCAAAAGTAATGCATTGTATTTTAGTATATTGGCCCACAGTGTCAGAGGCAGATGTTGGTGGTATGACAGTAGAGGATAAAGCTTCTGTCCATTACATGTTGCCTGCTGTGCAACAGATGGCAGCAGAGGGGCAGTCTGACAAAATGGTGCCTGACATGGAAGTGCATACAAAGGAAAAGTGTGGAAGTGAATTCGCCCACATGGAAAAAATTTCACCCACTGAAATTCGTCAGTGCTTAATGAACATTTATAAACACTGGAAGTGAGCACAGTGAAGTGGTGGGTTGTAGATTTCAGCAATGATGTCATTATAGCACCTGTGAAACAGTGTGTCACCTGCACTGATACAATTTTTATAAGCACAGCATGCACTCTTGTTCATCACTGGTGAAAATGCACACCTAATGGTGATGACTACATCCAAAAATAGTGTTCTGTAGCTAAGAATTTGCTATTTCAAACAGTGTAATTGCGCTCTTTGTATTTGTTGTAGTCTCCATGGAAATAAATAAGAGGCATTACTTTCAGAGCAACCTACGTATATTATGCATCATGAAAAATTGTTTGAAGATCTAGTTTTGCAAACTAGCATGTCCTGAAGAATTACTGCAGTGGAAGGGCATTCAGAATAGTCTGAAGCCAGAGCCGGTACAAAGCACATTCCTTATTTTTCAGTGTCTTCTATTAATCTTTATTACATTTGTTAGGTTTAAAGTAGAGATTCCTGTGGTATAATGTGAGAAAAATAAGCAAACACTGAGCATAATTTCTGCCTGCAGGTGGTGCATACTATCTTATCTCAAGAAGTCTAGGTCCAGAGTTTGGCGGATCTATAGGACTTATCTTTGCTTTTGCAAACGCTGTGGCGGTTGCTATGTACGTAGTTGGATTTGCTGAAACGGTCGTAGAGCTTCTTAAGGTAAATACTGATGTTTCATGCACACTGTTAAGTTGGGGCTTTTTTTTTTTAGCATTTGTTTAAATTGTGATACTTTTTAGCTGTACTTTAAGCAATGCCTTTAACAGGAAAGAAGCTGGTCTGTCTAACTGTGACAGAGCGCTTCTCCATTATGTCTGTCTTATGAATATGCCAATGATTTCTCAACAAGAGCCTCAAAAGTCAGGAAAGGAGATAGATATCCATCCAACTAGATAGCCAAATAACCCCAGCTAAGTGCAAGCTGAAGCATGAAATATGAATAGTTTGTCTCACAAAGTGCTGAAACTAATTAAACTATGACAACTCATTTCCTTTTATTTCACCTTGTTACCTAACCCCACCAGCTTGATTGAGAAAGGCTGGTTTTAACAGTATTTCTTACTCTTTTCAGGAGAGTGATTCGATAATGGTAGATGAGTCCAATGATATCAGAATAATAGGTACCATAACTGTTGTATGTCTTCTTGGCATCTCTGTTGCTGGCATGGAATGGGAAGCAAAGGTAAAACTTTAAAACTAAATACAAGCAAAGAATATATTAGAATACTGTGCAGGGTTAACACATGAGGAATGCTGTACAACAGGTGGGAAGCCTAACCTTTCTAAAAGCAAAGCAGCTTAATCATTACATTCAATGAAAGCAATACTACTCTATGTTCCTCCTTGAACATTCATTTAAGAGGGAAAAAGGAAGTTTACGTTCCACAGACTGCTTGTTTATATTGATTTTCATAAGCCATGGCATCATTTAAAGCCTTGAGTAAGCGCCCCTTTTGTCCTTATTTTTGAAGCAGCTTGAGAGAATAAGTAGCAGTTAAAACAATGTTTTTGTCACTGTACCTCCAAAGCTCTGCCTAGCAGGAAAGCTCCATTTTCTGTCCATTCCATAATCTCGGATGATTTCTGCTATTCCTTTACCTTACATTAAAAAAATTAAAAATGGAAATACAAATGAAAATACCTCAGAATGTAGAAATCAGTTCTAGAATTGGACTTCTCTTTTCATATTCTGCTGTGACAAAAGCTTAGAACTGCTTGTAAAAGATATCATAAAACCAATTACATATTATAACACTTCAAGTGACCATTCACTGCAACTAAACAATTTATATAACAATATAAAAATGTCTCATACATGATATTTATGCATTAACTTTTTCATTTTCTTTTTTCCTTTAAAGACAAAATATAAAATAAATTAAATTATAACTACTTTATAAACACTGTTAGTAAAAACTATCTGCTGTTATAATTAGCTGATAGCAGTTTGTTTTCTTCAGCTGTCTCGATTCCTGGTGTTTTCTAGGTCTATAACAATTTGTAATCTGTCATAGGGAACACAAACATCACTTAATCACTTATATTTAGCCATCTCCATTGTCAATGTAAATTAAAATCATTGGGGAAATCTTTGTTTCTGTTAACAGGCTCAAGTTATTCTTCTAATTGTTCTCCTTATTGCCATTGCAAACTTCTTTATTGGGACAGTTATTCCTACCAACAATGAAAAGAAGGCAAAAGGCTTTTTTAATTACCAAGGCAAGTATTGCTGTCTATCACAGAACAGTAACTTCATTCTTTGCAGCTGCATGCTGAGTTGAGGATTCTACTGAAAAAGTCACAAGATCAGGATCTTTAGCCCAAGTTTAAATAGGCTTGCAAACCAAGGGAATTTATTTCACCTTCAATTTTGAGTCTGTCTCTCTGCTGCTGAAGCTGACAGCAAAGTTAGCTGCAGTTTGAGTCACATATATATCAGCAGAGCACAAACCTTTACACAGAGCTAAGTGCAAGTGCTGTAGTGACACTGCTGTCACTTCAATGTGGAGCTGTAGCTCTGAAATGCAGACAAGCACATCCTACTGGGGATCAGACTGAGGAAATCAAATTCATTTTGCTATGATATGAGACAGATTCAAACCCAAATGTACAGATGTGAAAGACTAGATTATTCATCCCCCTCATTAAGTAACTTTGGAATCAAATCCCATCAGCTTCTTACATTTTCACCTGTATTTGCAGCATCAATATTTGCAGAAAACTTTGGACCAGATTTCAGAAGTGGAGAAGGATTTTTCTCAGTGTTTGCCATCTTTTTCCCAGCTGCAACTGGCATTCTTGCAGGAGCCAACATCTCAGGAGATCTGAAAGTATGTATTTCATTAATTTCATAATACTAGCTTTGGGTGAAGAAAGAACAAGAAAACTAATTATGAATCAGCACTGTATTCAGTTTTAAATCATGCCTGATTTTGGAAGCAAAACTCTCTTTTAAATATCTGCTATGTTATTTAAAACTACCAGTTCACATTTTCTTTCCTAATAGATTATGAGTATTTACACAAATTATTGCATTCAGATTTGGGTTTCTATATAATTTAAAAGCAAATTTCCATAAGCTGCAGTAATGTAGCATTAATGGGCCATTTGCAGAACACTACACAGAGAAATTGTGTGTATCTCCTGGTGCATTTTTGCAAAATCTGTATCATCCCAAAAAAACACACCTGTAAAGCTTGTGTTTGTACTCACAAGAATCACGGGAGACCAGCTTTTTCTATTCAGGGTCATAGCAGAATAAACAGAGCGTTTATTGAAAGCAAATATGTCCCAATCCCTTGTCACTATGGCTGCTCAAAGGAAAAAATGCAAGTTTGCAGCTGTGACAGAAGAAAGGAGTCTGAGGAGAAAGGGAAAGGGGGTCCAAGGGCAACTAAATGTCTTGCTGTGGCTGTTCTGTCAAGCTCTCACTCTCCTCTTGCAGTACAGCAGTTGTGTAAGATGGTACTTCAGTATTTAAACAAACTGGTAAGTCAGAGACAAGATATTAATTATAACTTTGAGTGCTCTCTAGTTTTCATGACTGTGCACAGCGAGTATATTGCAGAGTGTTTACAGCCAAATACAAAAATGAACAAATTCAAAGCTCACCAAAGCATTTTGTAAAACATCTCTAGTAAACATACAGCAGTGCAATTCTTCATAGCATTACAATAAACTAGAAATGTACCAGGGTGGGTATCCATGACTCAAGTTTTGGAATCTAGTGTTTAAAATAAAATAAAATAAAATAAAATAAATAAATTAAAAACAAACAAACAAACAAACAAAAAACCAACAACAAACAAACCCACAAAATAACAAGCAAATAAACCAAAACACTAAAAAGTCACCAAAAGGACACAAGTCAAACCTAGCTTCCTCCAGCATATCCAGAGATGGCTTTATCATACAGACCCATTGTCCTTGATACCTTAAGGATTCAACCAAACATCTATTAAATCTGTTTTGGCACAGCAGTCACAAGTTCATCAGGATCCTACCATCCCTGACAATCAGATTTGTTCCCCTCTCTTACACTGATTGCATGCCTCATCTCCTTAGTTTCCAGAAGACTGCTTTTGAAGCCAAGCACAGAGAGAAATAGGTGGAATTGGAGCCACTAATAATGATGTTTATGAGATTCCATTTTTAATTAAAAAGAAAACAAAGCAAATCATTGTACTTCTGCCCACAGAGACTGAATCAGCCTCACAGTCTCCATCTTTTTAACAAACAAAAAATAATTATTTTGCCATATATGGTGCTCTCTATCTATGGTAAACTCCCAAAGTAGCAGCACTTCTTTCATAAGCTGTTTGAAAGAGTTTGAACAGACCAAAGGAACCAACTCTCCTGTTGGCTCCCTGCAGTTGTTCCAATCTGGCAGTAGGTAGAGGTCTATGACCAGCTCCTCCAGGCTGTAGATTCCCCACTGAGCATATTTAGATGCATTAGGCAGGTCTAATTAAATTAACCACCTTCTCCAGAAATCTAAAGGACAAGCTAAGAATTATTTTAGATGTAAAACTGTCAAACCAGATTTCTTGTAAACAGCTATGCAGAGGCTTCTGTAGACACTGCACATTCAAGCGGTGAGCTAGTTCAAAGCCTACTCACAGTAAGAGTCTGTCTTCCTAGGGAGGAAGGGGAGCAGAGGGCTTGGGAGCAGATATTAAAATGCTAGCAACATATTAAATGTTTCATTGCTAATATAATTTAAAAGTTGTAAGGCTCAAACCCTAAGATTTAAGGTTAAGGTGTTTAAGACTGCAACACAAGACTTGGCAAAAACAGTGACCCATGACACACACACCAAGACTGTACATATTAAAGCTACCATGATTTAAAGGGCTAAAGGTCTTACAGAGTTGAAATGACTTCGAAGTCATTTTTCAGTTCAATAAATCCTTACCTCATTAAAATTATGTTAATTTTTAAATGCAATTAAGTCATTCATCCCCATTTCACACAACTCACCAAATTACATTTTTTTTTTTCCATTCAATGAGCATAGTTGTTATAACAGCACAACAACTTATGGCTTAAAATGTATTCCAGGCATCTGCAACCAAAATAAACCTCATTGAAGAAACTTAAGAAGACAATTCACCAAGTGCTTCCTAGCATAAACAAACACACATTAAATTATAATGCAAATCATTGGACTCACTCACAGCTGGACGAATGAAGTCAAAATTCTCGGGAACTAGTTTATAAGCATGATATTCCCACCTTATTAAATCTTCCAAATTCAAAGAACAGTGAAAAGCAGCAGTTTGTTGTCTAAGTACTAACAATTACTAGCTGCTAATCACAGAAGTACTATATTCTGCTCCAAGTAACTTATGTGCAACTATCATGCTGATGAACCAAAAACAGTCTCGTCTTCTCATCCACACAAGTGTCAAGGCAACTTCATAAACTGCATTAATGCAGTTCTGCATTATACTTGCTTAAACAATTGCTTACACCAAAAGCCTGATCTTTACGAAGGTGCAGAAGGTTTAGTGCCAAGCTGTTATAGGAACATAAGCTGTAATCATGTCCTAAAGTGGCTGCCTGTACAACTGCGTCCTGCTGCCAGAGGAAAGGGCATCATGTTGAATGGAATAGACTCATGGCCTGGAAATGAACATCATCTGGACCCACTGAATCAAGCAGTTTGATTAGTTCAGCAACTATGTACCATTTCACCATTAAGACGTTAAAATAAAGCTCACTGCAGTGTAGGGGGAGTTCAGAGCACTCAGAAATGCAGAGTTAGTCCCACTCCTGCCGAATATCCTACACTATGCCGAAGGTAGGAGCACTGCACCAACAACTGCTTCATGGCTATGCATGCACAGGGACAGGAGATATGGGCACAGCTCTAAGTGATAAAAATCTACCTTCTCCATATCACAGTGTGATAGGACTCACTGGTATACAGAGTGCAGCATGTGAACTCAGTGTTTTTTGGATCACTGCTTTATTTTAAGGACCCACAGGGTGCGATACCCAAAGGAACAATGCTGGCCATTCTGATAACAACAGTTGCTTACATAGCCGTTGCGGTATGTGCAGGTAAGCAAAGAACCTCTGTTTCGTGACTTAATTTATACAGTTAAGAAAATCTGAAAGCCTGGTATACAAAGGAGTGATTAGTCCTGTGGATTTATTATGTAGAGGTAGTTGCTTTGATTTTATTACATGTAAGAACAGTGAATAAAAAGAAATAATAAGCAGAAACAAAAGTCTCTGTTTCAGAAGCCGGGTGGCATTTGTCCTGTTTGAATTCACATAGAAGATGGATTTTCATGTACTTTGATTGCTTTTACATTTGATTCAGCATCAAAGACAACTATCTGGTAGCATCCATGAGTGCATTCAAGGAACCGCAGATCAATCTGCTCATCTTCGTTTTTCCTTCATATTGAGATTTCACATGGCTTCTACTTGTTCTCCTTAGTCTTACTGAGCACTCACAAGTGACGTGGCAACATGTTTGCTTTATCTATTTGTTTTATCTGTTGTGTGTCAACATTAAAACCAATTGTATATCTCCATGAAGATGTGCTATGTCACTAACTGCTCTACAATCTGAGGTAACAAAAAAGCACACAGGTATCAAAATGAGGCCTGTACTGCAGCCATGAACTGGTGTTGGAAGAACATAGAATTACATTCTCATTACAAGGATACAATAAATCTCTGTTCAAGAAATAAAGATTTTTCTTCTACTTGAACAGTACTGTAATAAAGAGTGTTGTAAATGATGCTTTTCCTTGTGAGCAAATACCTCAGCACTGTATGAAGCCCTGCAGGGACTCCCTTTTTTGTACTTTATGCAAAAAGGCAGAATACCCAAGTCAGATGTTACATTTAGACCTAAATTTCACCTGCAACTACAGTTGGAACAGTTATTCTTCACTTTCTATTATAAACCTGTGTTACTGCATTGTTCTGTTTTGATAAGCAATAGCTTCAGAGCTGTCTACCTTTCAGTGCAATACTTTTTCCTATTTCCTTATCTATTTTCTAAGGAGATGATGTTTATTTTGGGATTCTCAACATATTTGAAAATTTCACGTAAATTCACATTTTGGCTGCTAAAAATGTAGTTATCAATTGTTGGTGGTTTTTTTTTTTTTCCATTTCTGGTAGCAAACAAAAAAAGACAGCATAAATATGCCCTTATTAAACACAAAGAACATAGACATAGAACATAGAAATTTACTCCTGTTAGAAGTTTTTCTTGCTGTATTAGTATATGTAGGGCTGTGACAATTTAAACAGCTAAGGATCTGGGGCTCCAAAGTAATTGTGTGCCCTTGATACACCAGAAGAAATATGCCTAGACCTAAGATCCTCACTGCAATGATACCTTTGAATACTGACACCTGGAAAAGTGGCGTCAGACTGACAATATACTTCTTAGTTAATACATTGTTGATCTCCAGAGCATCTGTTTCTCTACTCTTAGATAAATGCATGTCTTCTTTAGTCAACTGGATTATTATTTTAAGAGTAACAGAAGAAAATAGCTGTCTACAAATAACATGAAAATCTATACTACAGGGAAGTAAATTGGGCCTAACACAAAACATTACTTTTTGAGATGATGCTAAAGTAGAGATTGAACAAAACATATATAGACCAACAATCACAGCATGGCAAGAACATCATTCTGTTGTCACAAGAAAGGAAAGTAATAGTATATCCTTGTTTCCACAGCCTCCTGTGTTGTACGAGATGCTACTGGGAACATCAATGATACAGTTATACCTGGGATGAGTTGCAATGGATCATCTGCCTGCAACCTAGGCTATGATTTTTCCAGATG